TGCTAGCTTCTTTCTTTCCATCTAGCCACAAGCTCCAGAAATTAAATGCCAAACCCCACTCAAAACCTCAAGACATGATTTTCCTGCCCTGAACACGGCACGCCTCGATGAGACAGAAAGGAAACGTCATTGCCTGGTCCTGTGGAGAGTTCACGGATGCAGGGAGTCTCAGGTTCAGGGTTCACCCTTCAGGTTTCAGACTCTAGGATTTTTAGGGTCTCGGGCTTAGGGTTCAAGGTTCAGGGTATATGGCTTGTGGAGGGTTTGAGGTTTAAGGCATAGGGTCCAGGGTTTAGGGTTTAGGTCTTGCTGAGGGTTTGGGGTTTGAGATGCGCAGTTGAAGTTTTGGGGGTCCAGGTGTCGGAATTACAGGCGGCTTTTCCAATTTTGAACTGTATATGAGGGTTGCTATAAGGGTTCTGTAGAGTTTTTTTGTTATGGGCCCTTTTCCAATTGCAGATTCAGGAATTCTTTGTTCTGTAGAGGATTAGGGCTTAGGGTCTTTGGCTGCGTTCTCGTTTCCGCAGCTAATCAACTCCTGAAACTCATAGCCTCAAAGCCTAAAGCCCTAAACTCCGACAGAACCCTTAAGGCCGAGTAAAGACCATATAAATCCCCAAACCCCAAACCCTAAACCCCTCTAAACCCCTAAACCCCTAAACCCCTAAACCCCTAAACCCCTAAACGCCTAAACCCCAAACCCAAAAGAAACAAGTCGAACAGCCGGCCTCTTGCACTACACCGGTTCCAAGGCTGCCTGTGTACTGGATGTCCTCTGCAGCGCTGCGGGGGATCAGGGGATCGTCGGCGCTAAAAGGTTTACTATAGAGGCCTTAGAAATCAGAATCGGGTTTTGGGGCCCATTATACGATATTCATAAAACTTTGGGCCCGTTATGCTATATCTAATTAAAAAAAGGAACCCCAAAAAAAATAGTAATTATGAAGGCCCCTTTTTTTGAGGGGGGGGCTCTGGGCTTTGGGATGTCGGATTCGCGGCTTGGAGTTTGGGGTTCACGGCTTCTTGGAGTTTAGGGTTTGGGGGTTTCCGAAAATAGGGGATCCTAATATAGTACCCCAAATAGTAGGATCCTTATTATAAGGGCCCCAAAATAAGGTACCCCTAATTTTCGGAAACTCCCATTTGGGGGCGCGAGGTCACGAGTTCCGACTCGGGGGTTAAGTAATGTAGGGGCCCAAACAACTACCAGTCCTGTTACTACGGTTGATGAGATAAATCCTGCAATACCCTTAAGGACCCTAAACTATGGGAATAATGGTATATCCCTTATTATGGGTAATGCAAGATTTATAGCATCAACCGTATTTCAATTTGCTTTTCTTTTTTTGGGGGGTTGGTCCTTCTTAAAATTATAGTTTCATGGCCCCCAATAATTACCAATACTATTTCAATTCTTCGGGGGGGGGCTCCTTATTCTTATCATTATTACTATTATTATCATTATTATGATGGTATCACGGGCCCCAAATCCCTATTCTTATAACTAAATCTCCTGTACTAAGTGAGCCTCGAGTGAGTTACCTTACTTCTAACCCTTTGCATTGCGCTTGGAGATTCATGAGCCTGCAGTGCTTTTGAGTTTTAGGGTTGAGGGTTTCGGCTTACTGTAGGGGCATCACTATTTAAAATAGGGCCCATTAAACTATAATAAATAATAAGGAGACCCCAAAATAAGGTAGGTAACTATGCAGACCCCTATAGTAGGGGCCGTGGCGAAGAGGTCGAAGGCTGGATGGTTCCGGGTTTGGAGCTCACGGGTCACAAGGGACTGCTGAGGAGGGCTTTGGGGGGTAAGCTTTAACAATTAAGTCTTTCGTCACTTAGGGGGTTTGGAGCCTCGGTGCTTTTGTTAGGCCTCGGTGCTTTTGTTAGGGGTTTCGGGGTTTAGGGTTTCAGGGTTTGGGGCATTCGTTGTCAGTTATGACCGCGGAGGGTGGCTTAGGGAGGGCGAACCTCCCCTGATTCCTCCGACCTCCTGCGGCCCCACCTTCGGCCCCTATGTGGCGCCGGTAGGGTTTAGGTTCTAGGGTTTAGTGTTTGAGGGTACTGTATAGGGTTCAGGGTTCCCGCCTATATGCACCCTGAACCTGCTAATTGGGTCCTTGTGTTGAGAATACACTTCACCTGTGCCAGGGCCGAGGCGGACTATGCGAAGTGTTTACAATGGACATTTTTAGGCTGTGGAAACCAATATTTGTAATTTCCTGTAATACTTGGCATTAGTATTACTCTTTCTTAGCCAGAGTCTCAGAAATAGTACGTAGAAGCACTACTGTTAGCATGAGCATTAACTTTAGCCTCAGTCTGAGTCGTAGCCACTGCTAGCTTCATCATAAGTAGGTAATTTGTATCAGCGAGTACTAGTACTGGTATACGCACTTAGTATCAAACCCCAGACCCTACACCCCACGCATTAGAAGACCTTCTGGATTGTGAGGCATGGGATTTAGGCTGTAAAACACCCTTGAAAATTTGCATTGGGGCCGTAGTAATTAGAGTAGGGTTTTAAGGCCCATTATACTGTAGTTATACTACGGAACCCACCAAAACAGTACAAGTATTGATTCAGGCCTTACATTATCATGGACACCGTCTCCTGGTCGAAGGCAACCCGGACGTTGCCGCCTTGGGTCAGGCTGAGAACCATAGTGGCAGTGATAGCGGTGATAACACCAACAATAACACCGACCATACACAATGCTCATACCAACAATAACAACAACAATGCCACTGATAGAACTCAGCTGGTAACGACAAGAAGAAGGACAAAACCGATAACCATGTTGATATCGTCAGAAGCTCAATGCCTAAGCCGGTACTTCGAAACCGCAAAGCCCAATCCGATTTTCCAAATACTTGATGGGAGAGTCAGCTTTGAGCATACCTGTTGACCAAAAAACTACAGAAAACTCAGACCCGGCTTCAAACCCTGTATTCGGCTTTCTACCTGCGTTTGTAATGTCCTGCCGGGAAATCCTAAACCTCTACATGTTCTGGCCGCGCTGCCGCGGAGAAGGTGGCGGCTGGCTCCGATGGTGGCCACCGGCTGAGGCAGCTTGGGCTTTGCGGGATGGGAGCAAAGCTGGGCGAGAGGGACGCCATTAGGGTTTAGGGTTTAGGGGTACCTGCAGAAATACACTGTGGGTCGGGCCTGACCTAAGAGCAAGGACACAAACGCACATCCCCCTACACCCTGCCATCCGCAAGCCCCGAAAAGATCACTTCAAGTAACAATGATGCCGTAACGAAAGTCTCCTCATCCTCTGCCACGGTCCTCCGGAGCTCCGCCTAGTGTTGATACATAGGCCTGAATAACTAGAGTATAATATTAATGGTATTCTGTAGACTTCCTTGACTGATATTTCCATACTAAAGCACACGGTGAACTCCTAATCCATATCATAACAGCTTTCTTGATAATTACGATCCCTATACTGCCAGCACTTCGACGACCACGATGCTGATGCCGGCAGTGCAGTATGGCATAAGCCAGATCAAACGCTTCCTTGCTGTGACGGAAGGTGCTGGCTGATGTTCGTCATCAACATGTAAGCACCATAATCGTCGTCGTCGCCACCATCATCGTCACCACCATAATCATCATCATAATCATCATCACCGTGGTCATCATCTTCATCGTCGCAATCGCCGCCATCATCACCAACACAACACCACCTCCGTCATCATCAGGATTCCGACTATCCTGAAGCTGATGTTGAAAGAGATGCCACTGCGGAAAGCACGGAAGAGTTGAGCCCTGCAATCCTGAGACCTTGGAACCCTAAAACCTAAAACCGCATGCCCCAAGTCCGCCACGGCAGCCCCCAAAAAGAAGAAACCTTGAACCAAACTAAATTACATGAAGCCTAAACCCTATACCGCAAACTAAAGAATCCTGAACCCAAACTCTAAACCCCACACCCCAACCCTAGACCCTGAACCCTAAACCCTCAACTCTAAACCCTAAACCCTACACCCCAAACTCTCTACCGCGAGAGGAAACGAAGACCCGGACGGCCTGAAATCCGGGTGTTGCGCAGACGCTTGCGACCTGGAGGTTGAGGAAGGTTTCGCGTTGAGGGGTTAGGGGGGTTCAGGGGTGCAGGGGTTTAGGGGTTTAGGGGTTCAGGCCGGGTTCGGGGGTTTAGGATATGGGGGTTTAGGGGTTTAGGGGTATACGGTTTAGGGTTGAGGGGTAAGCAAATGCAACTCACAAGCAAAGGCTTCACCAGCACGACTACCTGCACTCCTGGCATGCACTGGCGAGAGCTAATAAAGGGGCCTTCGTAACTAGAACAGGGTTTCGGGGTATACTCTGACTCTACGTACTATAAATATAATAAGGAGCCCCAAAACAGTACTGGTAATTAGAGCACCATAACCACGACCTTCTCACGCTCGGATGCTGCGCCGTCCCAGGCTGTGTCACAACTTTGGTGCGACTGGTAAAGCGCTTGGTTAATATAGGGGCCTTAATGACTTTAATAGGATTTGGCGGATATTATACTATATTTGTAATAAGAACCCCCAAAACCCTTTTCGAATTATTCAGGCCCCTACATTACATAACCTCTGGAGACTCCGAAGTTGAGGTTTGCTACAAACTCCTCAGACGATTCCGCACAGCACCACTGTCCCCGCCGCAGTGAGAAGATCCCCATGTCACGACGGATCCATCGCCAAGAACAGCTGCAAAAGCGGAACTGGATGCTTGGATCTGCTGCACATCCTTCAGCTGGTTCTGCACGACCCTACTGCTGCCGCCGCAGCGGGCATCTCCCCAGGTGACGACAGATCCATCTCCAAGAATAGCAGCAAAAGCGTAGTGCGAGGCTTGGATCTGCTGCACATTCTTCAGCTGATCGCGCACAGCACTACTGTTACCACCATAACTATCCATTCCCCAAGTCACGACGGAACAATCACAAAGGATGGCAGCAAGAGCGGAGTTAGCGGCTTGGATCTGCTGCGCGTTCTTGAGCTGAACCTGCACTGCACGACTGTCACCACCAAAGCGAACATCTCCCCAGGTGACGACAGATCCGTCACCTAGCATGGCGGCAAAGGCGGAACCGGAGGCTTGGATCTGCTGCACATTCTTCAGCTTGTCCTGCACAGCACCACTGTCACCACCCGTGGCAGCATCACCCCAGGTGACGACAGATCCATCACCAAGAATGGCAGCAAAAGCGGAGTTAGCGGCTTGAATCTGCTGCACATTCTTCAGCTTGTCCTGCACAGCACCACTGTCGCCACCCGCAGCAGCATCACCCCAGGTGACGACAGATCCGTCACCAAGAATGGCAGCAAAAGCGCGGCGAGCAGCTTGGATCTGCTGCACATTCTTCAGGTTGTCCTGCACAGCACCACTGTCGCCACCCGCAGCAGCATCACCCCAGGTGACGACAGATCCATCACCAAGAATGGCAGCAAAAGAGGAGTTAGCGGCTTGAATCTGCTGCACATTCTGCAGCTGATCATGCACGGCACTACTGTCACCACCCTTGGAAGCATCACCCCACGTTGCAACAGATCCATCACCGAGAATGGCAGCAAAAGCGCGGCGAGCGGCTTGGATCTGCTGCACGTTTTTCAGCTTGTCCTGCACAGCACTACTGTCACCACCCGTGGCAGCATCACCCCAGGTGACGACAGATCCATCGCCAAGAATGGCAGCAAAAGCGGAGTCAGTGGCTTGGATCTGCTGCACATTCTGCAGCTGATCATACACAGCACTACTACCGTCACCGCCATTCCTGGGTTCACCCCAGGCTGCGACAGATCCATCACCAAGGATTGTAGCAAAAGCGGAGAAGTTGGCACATGCCTGAACTCGATTTACGTGCAAGGTCAACCAATCACCGTCCTGAACCTTGGCATCCTTTATTCGTGCACTTGCATCTAGAACACAGCCAGCTGAATCCACAAGCCGCCCTCTTCCGACGATTCCAAGTGCGGCATGTGCCCGACGCTTTAGTAGCTCCACCTCTTCTTCCAAGCCGGCTTCCACAGAAGCTTTCTTGCCACTGAGAAGTCCAACTTCCACAACAATCGACATGTGGCAACCCTGGGTTCACGGCTTGCCGCCGGTACTGGGCTTGGGGTATTTCCCCTGGACCGATAGTGTCATTTCCGGCTCTAGGCTTTCAACGAAGCTCAAGATACTCCGAAGCATCCACGGCTCACTTCACATGCTGAGAGTTGAGGGTATAGGGTTGAGGATTGGAGGTTTACTTGGAGGTTCATGGGTAGTTATAAGTGGAGATATAAGTAGGGAATATAACTACACTTACAACTCATATTGGGGGACTTATACCGCGACTTATGACTACCCACGAACCTCCAAGTAGGGTTGAGGGTTTCAGGGCCTCTTCGTATAGCTTCTGCCAAAGTCCTGAGTGGAAGAACCCCGATCCTGCGCAACCAACACTCCCGACATGGGTTCTTGATAAGGAACCTAACTTAAGTTACCATAATAAGTTAAAACACCATGGGAATAGTCTAATGATACCATGAAAGGGATCTCTATCAAATATTAGGGTTGCCTGATTATGGCAACTCAAAGAAACTTCCGTTACGAGAACCCAGCAAATCTTAAGCCGTCGGCCTCAAACCCTGCACCCTAAACCCCCAGAAAAGAGTCAGGTTAAGGGTTTTAACAAATTTCGGGCTTAGAGTAACTCTAATCCCTAAACCCCTAAACCCTAATCCCTAATCCCTAAGCCCTAAACCCTAAACCCTAATCCCGAAAATAACTCTAGGGAATGGGTAGGGTTTAGGGCACTTCGCAGCTCCCCGCCTGCTCCGCGAAGTGGTCAAGGCTCGAACAGCCAGCAGAGCCAAGCGAAGACAGGAGCGAGGCATCCTCCCAAGGGCTTGGGAGTCTAGGGGTTGCGGGTTTAGGGGTTCGGAGTTTAGGGGGTTTTGGGTTTAGGGTTTTGGGTTTTCGGGAGTTTCGGGTTTAGCGCTTGGGAGTTCAGGGGTTTCGGGTTTAGGGTTCAAGGGTTTAGGGGTTTCGGGTTTAGGGATTTAGGGTTTGGGGTATTGAGCTAGCAGTGAAGGAAAGCCAGCTGTAACCATAGCGACAGGAGAAATTAGCATGCCTCGCCATGACCATAAAATTGTGGTACTACTGCTGATGGACAAAATCCTGCATGACCCTAAGGACCCTAAACTATAGGAATTATGGTATATTCCTTATTATGGGTAATGCAGGATTTATATCATCAACCGTAGTAGCACAGGTACACTTCTAACTCCGGCGGTGCTGGTAGTAAGAACGATGATAATCCTTTCTGCTCCTCCTAAAGCCAGGAGAGCTTTCCGTAAGGAATAGACCTTCCGGGCTGCACCTGTCATACTTCAAGGATCGTGGGACTTAGTAGGTAGGTTATAATTGTGGTTATAAGTCCCCTAAGTGGGGTTATCTTCATTATAACCATTTTATAGCCTTACTTACTAAGTCCCATGATCCTCCAAGTAGACCCTACACCCTAAACCCTATAGATCCCTTTAAGGAACCCTATAGATCCCTATAAGGACCCCTTAGTTACTAAGTCCCATGATCCTCTAAGTAGCCTACATCCGAGGAGACCCCAAGACACCAGAGCTGCAAGAGCTCGGATCCTCGGTTTTGGGGCTTCAGGTTTAGGAGTTTAGGGTTTAGGAGTTATCGGTTAAGGGTTTAGGAGTTTAAGACTTAGGAGTTTAGGACTTAGGAGTTTAGGCTTTAGGAGTTTAGGAAGTTTAGGGTTTAGGGTTTAGGAGATATTCAGGAGTTTAAGAATTTAGGAGCTCAGGGCTCTTCGCAGAAACAGGGCCACTTCGATCACACCCCCGCCCCTTCACAGCCTGGCATCCTCTGACCGGTCATGAAGCTTGCAGAATGATGTTGAGTGAGTCGCTAGGCTTCCTGAACCAAGGCTAACGAAATTCCGGGATCTAGGCTTTTGGATGCTGAGCTTTGGAGATTAGGGTTTAGAGGTTAGCAGGACTAATGATACCAATTTATAGTTTAAGGCTCAGGGTTGCTATAGCCTCAAACTATTCCCGCCTAGACTCTAGACCCTAAACCCCCTAAGGTCCTTCTCGCTAATCTTGGCGCGTAGACCCTCGGCGGCAGCTTTCACACTCTGCACCATACCTCGGAACCAGAATGCTGAAATAGAGCGCCACCTTTTGGGTTTGGGGCTGGCTGTTTATGGGAAATACTTCCGCAGATGGCGAGACATTCGTGCAGTAGCCCCTACTCACTCAGCTACGAAGACACTTAAAGGACTCCTGAATATGCCCCAAAACCCTATAAACCCCAAAACCTATGCCCGCTCTTATTGGAAACCCTCTCCTAGCGTCCCGCTCAGTGGCTCGATTCGTCCGGCCTCCCCTCCATGAGGAAAGCTTCCGGGCTGCCTGCGTGTCAAGAACTTGGGTGACTCAGTGGGCCTCGGGGTTTCAGGGTTTAGGGATTTGAGGTTTTTCAAGGCTGAGGTATTTGGGGTTTCAGGGTTTTTTGGGGAATTTGAGGTTTCAAGGTTTAGGGTTTTTTCGATAAAGTAAGATCCCTGAATTCCGCTATCCTCAACCCTAAACCCTAAATCTCACACCCGCAGCAGAAAGCCCGTTTCTTCGGGCCCCACCTAACTGCTGCACCGGGGTGAAAGCATGGACATCCAGCGCGGCACCTAGGCTGGGGCTCCGCGGACTTGGGTTTCGGGCTTTAGTGGTTTAAGGGGCTATTTAATTATTATGCTTTGGGCTTAAGGTGTGTTTGGGGCTTCAGGTGTAATGTTGGAACCTGATTAAGAAACTCTGGCCCTAGTTTCCATTAGATATTCGGATTCATGTTAAGAACCCTGATAAGGACCCAAGGTTTCTTAGGGCGTTTTGTTTTGGGTTCGGGCTATGGCTTGGGCTTCAGCGTTGAGGTGTTTGGGCTTTGGGTTGGTGGCTAGGGGGGATTTCAAGGGTCAGGGGCTTACAGCTGAGGGTTAGAACTTTGCGCGGTAGGCTTTGAGCTCGCCGGATGATCAGAACTCGAAGCGCTATGGGACCTCAAGGCGACAGATTCAAAGCTTAAGGGTTTAGGGCTTACCCAGAGGCCCCATAGTAGTTCCTTTTTCGGATTACCTTATAGGATTCTATATATGGGTAGTTGTCGAAATTAGGGTCCCTTTTTGGGTCTCTATTATAATACGGCACCTAATGTTTAGGGTGCCCAAAAAGGGGCCATAATTTTGACAACCACCCAAAGGAACCCCAAAAAGGAACTACTTTGGGGCCTTTCGGTAGGGCTCATCGAACCCTAAACCGAAACCCCAAACCCTAAACCCCGAAGCCCTGAATCCCTGAAACCCTAAACCCTGAAACCCCCAAAGCCAGGTTAGGACCCCCGACTGCTTCTGTCCAGCTCCACGAGATCGCTCCCCTCCCCGTTGCCTCTACAGCTGGAGCGTTCAGAGTTTGGGGCTTGGGGTTCAAGGTTTAAGGGTTGACTAGGTTGGCCCTTTAAAGCCTCTGAAAAATATTCGGAGGTAGGGTCCTATGAAGCCCGATGATAAGGGAAAATATGAAATGTCCCAAAAGCCTACCTAGTTGAAGGTTTAGGGCTTCAGGGGTTTAGGAGTTTGGGGTGTAGGGCTGAGGGTTTAGGGTTAGGGTCGAGTCTAAGACTGCCATCAGCAGCAGCAGCAACAGCACCAAGAGCAGCAGCCTTGTGGCAGAAGCCGTGGCACTAATTATGCAAAGAAGAAGAAGAAGACCACCACCCCCAGCCCTACTCCTACGGCTAGTGCTACTATTACCGCTGTTCTACGCCACGTATTGTGCTTGCAAATCAACCCACGGACCCTCAAGCCTAAGCTCACAATGCTGGCACATGAACTTAAGAGGCCCGAAAAGTAGTCACCCATGTCATGCTCGTTCGTTCCGAAAGCCTCCAATAGGCATCATGCCCGCTTGAACTCCTAATTCAAAACGTAAAGGGGCTCCCTTGCTCTAGCTCTAACCCAAACCCTTCGAAGGTGCCTGTCTGCCTGCAACGGAAGGCTGCAAAGCTACCTCAGCTTCCCGCATTTGCATAACTTGGCTCCGCTCTCTCTCACTTTTGTTCACTGGCGGCATTCAGGGGGGCACCCAATGGACACAGGATGTAAGCGAGCCTGCAGCCTAAAAGCTTGAGTACCTGAAAGGCTTCCGAAAACCATCATCCCTACAACTGAATCACAAACCCCGATCTCCCTAAACCCCTGAAACCTGGAGCCCCCAATAGCCCCCATCTTCCCAAGCCCTGATCCCTAGTACTACTGTTGATGATATAAATCCTGCATGACCTTCAGGAGCCTACACTGTGGGAATTGTGGCACATTTCTGATTATGGGTCATGCAGGACTTATATCATCAACCGCATCCCTAGAACTCCGAGGGCTGAAGCAGCTCTCCAGCTGAGAACATTGGATCATAAGGCGATGTGGAAGCCTCAATATTTCGCAACATCGGGGTATCGAGGCCCTGTGCAATTTGGGAGTTTCCCTTAGGTCCCCTATCTTCGGAAACTCCCATTTGGGATCCAGGGTCACAGTCTTGGCTCAACTTCCAAGAGATTTCACTGTGAAGGCCGCATCTGTGATTTGGGTTGAGGGTTTAGGGTTTAGGGTTGTATATATACTGCAGTACAGCGACCGCTCATCATGCATCCTACTAACAGGGTTTCCGATCACAATAACATGAACCCTTCATTAACGCCTAGCTGTATATGTGAGTTTCCGAAAACAACGGACCCGAATATAGTACCCTAAATAGTAGGATCCATAATTTAAGGACCTCAAAATAAGGTACCCCCCAATGTTCGGAAACTCCCATATACAAACGGAAACCCTCTGGGTCGGGAGGAAACTGAGTGCTGCGCCGTTGGGCCCATCCTGTCCACGAAAGGGTTACTGTAAAGTGGGTTTAGGGTTTATGTGTTTAGGGTTTAGGGTTTAGGGTTTAGGGGCCAAAGCAAATATCCCTATAAAATGCTTATGCCTATGTGCTTCTTGGGTCCCTATTAAAGGTTCTGGAAGGGTTGCCATAAGGGTTGCTGCAAGGGCTACTTCACGGGCTACTATAAGAGTTTGAGAAGGGTCCTATAAGGACTACTATCCAGGTTCCATGGGTTCTTTACGGGCAGTACAACGTTTGAAGGTTGAGGGTCTAGTCGAAGGTGACCACGGGGTTTAGGGCTTCAAGGGCTTTAGGGCGTTAGGTCTCAGGGCGTTAAGGGGCTTTAGGGCGTGTTTAGGGCCTTATGGTTTGAGAGCTCCGATTTAGCCATTTACTGACACGGGCATGCTTCTGTTGGGATGCGAGCCTCTTTCGAATGGGTCAGGGTCAGTTGGGGAACTCCTGGTACAAGGCTGGCTGCCCCAACAAAGGGGCCGCAACCCATATGAGGGCTGGATCGGGTGTATACAAATCAAAATATGGGGACCATCATGCGAACATGACAGGGTTCTGGCGTATTTTATGCGAACGGAACCTTCGGGAAACGCTATCACTAAGTAGCTATTTACGCGACAAGGAATTATTGAGACTGATGCAGTAGGCCCTGCATGCAGAACTACGGGAACCCTATCCCTATCGCAGGGACCCTTACGAGGTGTAGGGAGGGGGGTAAGGGGCCTTAATACCTATAATAAGGACTGACTAAGGCCGATTTAAGGAAGTATAGTCCCCTACCCCCCTTCCCCCCAAACCCCTTAGGGCCCCTATGACTAAACCCTGGACCATGGCTGGCCAGGCGCCTTCGCCAGCAGCTTCTGGTACATCGGGAAGCCCGCTGAGGGCGAGTCGAAGTAGACCTGGGCACCCGAAACGGTTTAGAACTTTGGGGTGTTGGGTTGTTGAGCTTGTAGGTTTTAGGCCTTAGGCTTGAGGTTTAGGGTTTGGGCTCGAGGGTTTACACTTAGCAAATTCCAGACCTGTCACAAAAGTTAGACATGAAACGAGCCACAGCAGCAGAAACAGCAGAAGCAATAGCAACAGCAACATCAGCAGCCACAGCAGCAAAAACATCAACAACAGCAACAGATGACCCTACAATAGAACACTAACATGTCAGTGCAATCAGCTGGGTTCACACAGCGCAGATTGTTAGTAGTTGGAGCCTGGTTCACAGAAGGTCCATGTTTCGCAATGCCCAATGGGCTCAAAAGCGGGATGCACTACCGCGATGTTTTACTCGAACAGCTCAAGGGCCCTTCGGTACGCACACTCACATGCTGGTCAAAAGACAGGAAGAATTGCACTGACCAAACTCTTTTGTGGATTTTATCCGTTTAGGATTGATCCACAGCCTGCCAAATGGGATTTTCCCAGGAGTTCACGCAGTTGAAAAGCAGGCTTGATCTTTGTAAGATGGTCAGCAAGTTGGCGGAGTGTATCCACCCACTTAAAAGTTGAGCGGAGATCTTCACTTTTAGGGTCAAACTCTTCCGCGCTCTGCTTGATCGCCTCGACGTCGATGGTGAGCCTCTTCTCTTGAGTAGACGCCACTGGTCCGTCCTTCGTCAAGAGGTCGTAAAGGCTCCGACAGTCCGTCACGGGGTGCGTCGGCAGGAAGTCTTTCGGCAAACTGCCGCTTTGCACTGGCGAATAGCTTTGGATCATCGCCTCTGCCAGAAGCTCCCTGAGGAAGATGCCACTGTCAAACCCGGCGTCCATGGCCATGGTCTCGGCAGCAAGGGTGCTCCGGCACTGTCGCTGAATCCTGTGGCTACGCCAGTCCAGGAGGTTCGCCGCATCACCGGCTACAGAAAACACGCCATCGCCGCAGAGGAAGGTGAGGAAGCCGGCTTGGCTTCGAAGGCTCTCTGTATTCGCCCAGGAGGCGTCGGTGAACACCACGATCTTGGCCGTCGCGAGGTCCAACGGAACAAATCGCAGTCCCCAATCGGTGGTGTTCTGGGCCTCCTTCAACACCTTGTTGATCTCGACAAGGTTGTGCACGGTAGGGGTCCCTGACATGCTGAGGCTGGTCGCAGCTGCCAAGTCGGGCCTTGTCTGGCCCACCATCCAGTGTAGGCACCCGCCCGCGGACTTCAGCTCGGTGACTTCCGCGGCGGTCAGCGTAGCCTGCGGGCTCAAAGCTCGCCATTTAGGCACTGGTGTCACCACGATGGCCCTAGCGAACTTCTCTTGTGTCAAGGTAACCACGCCGTTGGCGTCCTTCCGGATCTCCTTGCCGCCATACTCTAGCGCGCCATCAGTTCGGGAATCGGACCAGGCGCCGAAATCGAAGGTGGCCTTCACCTTCTGCAGTATGTTGTCCGCTAGGCCTGGTTGTCCCGTGCCGATGAGGTCGTCGACGTGTGTGCCGAGGATCAGGATGAGCCGCCCCGCCTGGTAGAAGAAGAACAGGGCTTTTCGAGCACGGACTGCACGAAGCCCAGGCCTATCAAGGAGTCTCGTAGGAACCGCCAAAACAAGCGAGGGCTGTTCGCGAGGCCAAAGATGCCTCTGACGACAAGTAGCAGTTGCCCGGCCGCTAAGCCCGGCAGCCCTTCCTTTGGCTGCCTCAAGAACAAGGGCAGCGATCGGGAGGCCATCTCCTGGTTGCCCTGCAAGAACGCGCCCGTAATGTCAGCGACCCAAAGGAACCAGTCACGATGGGCAGCTGCGATCTGGAGAATCATCAGCAACCCCATGCGCGTTAACGTCGGCGCATCTCTTCGCAGCTCCAACAGATCTGGGTCTCGGTCGCCACGACACACTAGCCTTGCTTTCGCTTTCAGCGGCAGCCAAGGGTAGCCAGCGTTCTTGTCCCTGTAGCACACTCTCGTGTCCAGGAATCGTTCCCTGGGGTAGGCCTCTTCAGCTGCTCGGCTTGCGGCTAGGTCCAACGGCTCTGCGGCTCCGTACTTTTTCCAAGTGTCCCTTGACGAGCGCCTCGGCGTAGGTCTCCTTCTGGTCCTCCGGGATCATGTGGTACGGGATCTCCTTCACCAAGGCCTTCTGCTCCTTGCGGGTGGCCTCTGCGCTCCGGTGGCCCATCGCCGTGTTGAGGAAGCCGTCCGGCGGGTTCGCGTAGTACTCCTCGTGTACTTCGTGCTCCTCTACACTCTCCTCCGCGAGCTCCTCCAGCCGGGCGCGCTTAGCTTCCGGTGCCTCGGGATGTAGACCGCCATCCGGGGCCGCGTTGAGGCTCCGTGCCGGCGAAGTCGGCGAGGGCTGCGTCACGTCGGTGCCAACCGAAGAAGGTGCGGAAGTCCTTTCGTCATGACGACGTGGGCTGCGCTCGCGTTCGCCTCGATCTTGCGGAGGATCGGGTAGTAGGTCTCGTGGTTCCCCTTCGGCAGGCGGTACCGGTAGTTCTGAATCGGTGTATGAGGAACATGACCTACACCGCCCCCATCGTCCGGCGCCGGCTCGTCGACCTCCTGCTCGTTATTCTCGTAGAACGGGATGACTTCCCCAGGGTCGCGAGCTGCGCCTTCACCGGGAGGACCGCCTCGCTCATCGATGTAGTCCTCCGGCGGGTCGTCAATGAGGCCTTGGAGCACATCGTCTTGAATCCTCCAAAGTTCGGTGCCGTAAGCGGGCCGCATCTGCTCTTTGGCCGCCAGTATGCACCGCCCCGCCGATGCGATCCAGTAGTTGGACTGCGAGTGGTCGCCTTTGTGTGGTCCTATCACGGTGCCTCTGAACCAAGCTGCTGGAAGACGGCGCACCTTCTTGGACTTGGGGTCTCGGCGGGTTTTCGCCTCCCGCCAGAAAGCCACCAGCTCGCCCGGCTCGTACGAATCCAGTCGGAGCACCGCTTTGCGTAGGGCGTCGTTCACCATGAACTCGGATATGCGGCCGTCGGCTTGAGCACGTACTTGGTGCCGTCGGCGAAGCTCCTGATCGAGGTCCAAGCCCTGCAGCGCCTCCAGTCGTCCGTCTGGACTGAGGAGGTCCACAGGCTTCTTTGGGCTCCGCCCGAAAAGCCACTCGTTCGGGCTGCAACCGCAAGTCCTGACCTTGTCGTTGAGCGACGCCGAGACCTGCGCGCCCAACATCTTCATGTCGATCTCGCCCTCCAGCTGGTGCTCGTCAATGATGCGCGCCGCGACGTACCTGAAAGCGCGGTTGTACGCTTCAACTGCACCTGTCTGCCAGTGGGCCTCGCCGGCGTTGTGGTCGATCTCCGTCCCGGTGTTCCGGACCTTCTCCTTAAACTCGCCTTCGAAGGCCCCGTCGCGGTCGGCGAAGATGAGGTCGGGGAATCCGGCCCACGAGGTCCACATATCGCAGAATTTCTCGAACACGTGCTGTGGCTGTCGGCTCTGCACCGGCTGGAAAAGGTTGAAGTTCCCGTTCGGCTCCAGCACGTGCAGGAAGTTGAAGCCGTCGCCCTTCGCGTCCTGTAAGTACACAAAGTCCAGCATGACTTTCGAGTTGAAAGGCCCAGCGAGGCGCAGCGAGGTAGGCCTTGGTGGCAGAGGACGTCGGGTGCGCTCGCAGGTAGCACACCTAAGTCTACGAGCCAAAGCCACCGCCTCAGCAGAGACTTTGGGATCCTGGTTCAGGGCTCTCACCAGGTCCTCGTTCCTCGGGTGACCGAGGTTGCGATGCATCCTGACGAGCGCCTTGGCGATGACCTTTTCCTTTGGTTTCAACGGGCCACCGATGATCCAGCACTCGCCTGCGAAGTCTTGACGCACCAGACCTTCCTGCAGCAACGCGTCCTGCGCCTCGTCCTTCACGGCTTCGCCATCCTCGGCAGGTTGTAGTGGAGGAGGTTGTGCCGCCGCCGGTTGTTGCGGTTCGCCCGGGGCGTGGCCCAAAACGAAAATGCCGTACCTCACGGGTGCCACGAATCTTTCCCGCGGGGCCTGGGCATCACGGAGGAACTCGGTCTCGATGGTGATGGAGTCGTCGTTCAGAAGTAGGATGGAGGCTCGATGGCATTCCTCCAATCCGGGCCGCACTCGCTTCGCCTTCGGCAGATGAGCCACTTGCACAAACGAGATTTGCCACGGCACCAAAGCCTCGATCTTGCGGTAGAGTTCGGTCTCCGGGTGCACGTGCATGCTCGCTTGTGTCTTTCGGCCCAGCATCTCCTTCACGTGCTCCAGCACCTCTCGCCAATCGCTCTCGGTGCGCTGGACGTCCACGAAGTGCACGGCTCGCTGCCCCGTGGCTTCCCACGTGGCTCTCGACGCAAAGTCCTCCGCCGCGGTCATGTCCAGGTAGCTCCTGCACAACGCGTCGCCCAGGTCAGGCGGGTACGCGCTGATGCGATCATCCCCCGGATCTGCGCCGCAATAGCCGGCCAGGTTGTTCACGAGCTCCGGGTGCGTCGCCGCAAACCGGACCTCCAAGGGCTTAGCCGCGAAGCCTTGTTTCACAAATATTCCGTGGGTGATGTACTCGGCGACTCCGGCTGTACCATGGACTTCGGCCACCACGTGGCCCCCGCGCTGACGTTGGTCCTTGATCACGTCGTTCACGAGATTCAGATACTGCTCCTTGAAGCCGTGGTACGGGTCGCCGCCGTTGCCGTAGAGGTCGAGCTGCTGGAAGGAGGGCCACGGGATCTCGAAGACGACGAGTCGAGCCGGCCATTTCCCAAGTGTCTCGCGCAACCAGCTTGGGAACCACGGTTTCCTCAGGTCCAACCCCGATCGAAGATCCATGGGCTGAAGCGCTCGTAGGCTCCAGTGGCCTGCCGCTCGCACCGATACATAGCCGTCGCCACCCAGGACTTCGACAATGTCGTATTCGAACTTGTGCCGGGGCCAGGCGCAGCCATCCAACCTGGTTTCCACAACGGAATGGTGCAATCTCGATGCCTCCAGAGCTTGCTTAGCTCCACTTAGCATCCGCCTGCTCTGGCTCACCAGCACCGCGCTGTCGTCCGTCGCCTCGGCCTCGTCCGCGAACTCGAGCTTCACCTGGTTCACCGCGGTCTTCGCCATGTGCTTCTGCGCCTCGGTGCGTTCCAGGCGCTCCTCGTCCATGATCGCGTCCTCGGCTTCCCGTGCTTCCCGAGCCTCTTTGGCCTTTTGGCGACGCTTGGCTTCGAGTCGCCTGGCGGCCTCCGTTTTGATCCTCTCGCGCTCCTCGGGGCTCAAAGCCTTCAGATCCACTGCCTCCGAGGATCCCGAAGATCTCGCGGGCGTCGGGCTCACCGAAGCCCGTCCCTTCTTGTTGGCCGCCTCCGACCGTGCCGACGTCGCCGCCTTCGAAGTTGAGGCCGTGGATGCCGGCGAGGACGAGTAGCAGCCGGAGAGCTTCGTGAAGGATTCCTTGCCCTGCGCGGCGGACGTTCCTTTGGGTGCTACGATTTTCCCGCCCGGCCGGTCCCTGATCCCATGGAGGTGAGGGTAGACGTGCACCTCCTCGTGGCTGATCGGCACCTTGTACACCACGCCCTTCCACACCGTGCCGCACTGCAAACACTCCTGGAACCGACCATGTTGGTTCCCCAGTCGTCGTGCCAAGTCCGGCGGATGCAGGCATTTGTCGGGCTTCTTGGGGTACGGCATCTTCGCCAGCTTTGGGATCTGGCCGGGTGGTTTCGTCGTCGCTGGTGGTGCCGTCGCCGGCATAGTATCCACCAGGGTCTCCTGCGCAATGATCGCCTCGGCATAGGCCATCAGCGCTGGTCGTCGATGTTTGGCCCAGCGCGTCACCTCGTGGACCCGGGTGTAGCGCTCGGCCAGGTCCATCACGTCCATCAGCATTTCGGCCAGTCGGCCCCATGCTTCGGTCACCTGCTGCTTTGCCTTGGCGTTGAGCTTCCGCATGGGGCTCTAAGGCGTTCTGCGGATGCTGAGTCTCACAGCCAAACTCACCCACAGGTATCACAAATTGACCCTTGCGCTTCGAAGAAGGTACATCCAAGCACTGCTTCGAAGACAAATCAAAATGATGTACTTTCTTAACAGCAGCATCCCTCACTTCACCGGCGCGGGCCTCGAGCTGAGTTCCGTCGTGCAGCTTGATAGCCACGTGATCCGCAGCCGGAGGGAAGTTGGTATGGCCGATGGTTGCGCCTTTGCCAAAGAAGTAAGTAGCCCCAACCCAAGGATCACAGTCACGAGCAGAACCGTTAGCTACCCAATCGTCACATACAGGTTCTTCGGAGCATGACATGACGGTCACTCTCATGGGCTGCAGGTCCTTTGTGTCCGGGCCGTCCTTGGTGTCGTTGGGCACGAAGAAGTCGCACCGGGGCCTGACATGATGTCTCACATACACCCCTTTATCGACCATGTACTGCCAGTAGTCGTTCGGAACAGTGCAAGGCAAACGCTCTCTAGGATTGGGCTCATAGTAGTGCGTGGTTGCAAAGTTCAGGTCAGCAAACTCGACAGCGACTTCTGGTTTTTTCTCCGACGGCTGGGTTGCGGCATGAACGTCACGAGCACACTTATCGAAAAGCACTCCCGGATAGCCATTCTTCCTCGCAACAAACCCCGTGGGCCAGCCGTTCTCGGGCATCTCATCGATGGCGATCACTAGGTGCCCAGTGTGGTCGATGAATAAAGGCGTCTGAACGCCTAACTCCCGCAGCACAGCCACGTGCCGCCCAACATCGACGCATGCATTCATGAAGACCATCCAATCCTGGCCTGCGAGGAACGGGATCTTGGGGCAGTCGTGATCCTGCACCGAGGACGTGCAGATCACAGAAGGTTGCCCCAGCACCCCGATAGGCACAGACCACCGCTCCACAGAGGGCATAGGAGCGCCCGGGCCGAAACAGTAAGCCTCGTTCTCGGGGTGGACCAAGGCCTGCAGGTTGCAATGCTTCCCGAGGTGCACCGCGATCTTCTGCAGGATGGTGGTCCCGGCCACCGTATTCTCACATGCCGTGTCCAGGGTGAGGTAACAGCGGTCATCCTCAACGGTGGCCTTTCGGCGCATATTGCTCTTGACCATCCTGGGCACCGGCGTCTCCGGATCGAAGTCCACATGCCGGGTTTGGCGTCTTGTCATGTAGATCCTTCCAGACGCCTCCGGCCCGGACTGGCTAGCTGCCGCCTGGGGTCGCCGCAGGGCGTCCACGTCGACCGCCGGGGTCGAGTCATCCTGGAGCACCTGGTGCACAGTCTTGCCCGTCGGCTCGTGCAAAGTGATGCCGAGCTGTCCAAAGTCGGACTCTGGGCCATCCGCGGCTTGTTGGCCGCTGCGATCTGCTCCTTCAGCTTCTCGGCGGCCTGGTAGCTGTCCGACTGGAGCTTGTCCTTCACCTGCTCAGAGGTCACGTCGCCTCGTGTCGCAGAGCCACCCGCCGCCTTTTGCATCACTCGGTTGACGCCGCGGGCAATGTGGGAAGCCTCGGCCTGCACAAAGTCCCCGGAAGCCTGGGTTGAGGAGGAAGTCGGCGGTCGTTTCGTAGAGGTCGAGGACGAAGTAGTGTGCGCCAGTCGGGTGGTCGCGTAGCCGTAGCGGTTCGCCTCCCAGCTGTGCCACTGGTCCTCGGTGTACTCGCCGTACCAGTCCTCATTCTCCGCATCTTCGGCCTCGGTACGCGTGGCCTCATGTGCATGCTTCATCTTGCACTCGGGATCGCCTCGCCAATGACCCTTAAGGCCGCAATCTCCACAAGTGGTTTTGGCTTTCAACTCTTCAAGGGTCATGCCCCGAGCCTTCCCAGAACCCTTCTTGCCCTTGGTGCCGCCCTTGCCTTTGGCCTTCCCGGCGTCACCCTTGAACCCTTTGCCCTTGCCCTTGCCACCGGCATTGACGTAGAACCCTCTGGCTTGAACCGCTTTCGACAGTCTCTGACGGTTCTCTCGGTGAGTGCTAAAGCACTCATGGAGTTCACGAGCGACCTCCTCGGGCAGCTCTTCCACGTCCGCCTCAGCGAGAGCTTCGACCGGGTCGTAGTCGGCAATCCAGGTCTGGATCTGCTCGTCGGTCGCTGTTGTTGCTGGAGTCTTAAGGTCCCCGTAGTCAACATGTGCCTCATGTGCAGCTCTTTGCCGACGACCGGGCGCCTCACGTCCATCTCGGCCGTCTCGGTTTCCACGTACCACCACGCCTTGGTAGAGGAGCTCCACGGCCTGCTTCATCTTCTTCCAGTGGTATTCTCCACCGGTGCGCAGCAAAAGGTTCGCCTGCCTCTCAGTCGACATGGCCGTGTGCTCGAAGAGGAAGTAGACCATGACCTCGTCAGGGATGGTGAGGTTCGCTTCCTTGCACCGCCTCGCCGCCTTATCCATAAGGTCGATCACTTCCACGAGTGTGTACGCCTTGTCGTTGAGGGTCTGGCCGAGCTTAAAGAACCCTTTCATGGCTGACCCGACCTTGTGCATCCGCTTCTCGTCGAACTTGTCCTTGAGGAGCTTGAGCAGCACTTGCCATCCATTCTCCACGCCGAAGGTCCTGGCGGGGATGTCCTCTAAGTAGTCCGACGCCTCGCCGTCCAAAGCCGCATGTAGCCGAAGACCTATCTCTGCATCATCGATGATATTCTTGGCTATCTCCACGTAGGAGTCCACCTTGGACGCATACTTGCGGAAGCACTTCGGATCCTTCCGACGGTCGCCGTCGAAAGAAGGCGCAGGAGGCAGATTGCCTCTTGGGCGCCGCTGCGCTTTGTCCTTGTCGTGACCACCAGCAGCCGGCTTGGCCTTAGCAGAAGAAGTCGAACGCGTAGACGGAGAGCCCTCAGCTTGGCCTGCGCGAAGTCCTTGTCGTCCTCTGGCAAGAGAACCCCCACGGGCGGGCTCCGGCACGAGCTCTTCATCTTCACGATAGTAGTCGGCCCATGGGTCCACGGGTTCCGACTCCTCTTCTTCTTCCTGCTCGCCTCCAGTTGCCTCTCCATCGGTCACTCCATCGACGAAGTCCTGGAGATCTCCAAGATCCTCGCCCTCAACACCCGTGTCATCGAGCTGCGACATGAGTGATCTTTCTCGCACACGCTACCAATGCAATCAGCTGGGTTCACACAGCGCAGATTGTTAGTAGTTGGAGCCTGGTTCACAGAAGGTCCATGTTTCGCAATGCCCAATGGGCTCAAAAGCGGGATGCACTACCGCGATGTTTTACTCGAACAGCTCAAGGGCCCTTCGGTACGCACACTCACATGCTGGTCAAAAGACAGGAAGAATTGCAGTCAGGAGTAACGTTCTTCGTCGCGGCAGTGGTGGCAAAAGCCGCGGCAGCAGTAGTAGCAGCAGCAACAGGAGTAGTAGTGGTAGTAGACACTAGCAGATGTAGAAGTAGTGGCAGTCATCGTAATCGTAGTAGTGGCAGCAACAGCAGGAGCAGGAGGAGGAGGAGCCGTAGAAGGTGGTACAGTAGTAGTGGTAGTCGTGGTCGTAGTGGTAGTAGTGGTAGGAGTAGGAGCAGCAGCAGCGCAACAGCAGCAACAGCAGTACCCGTTCTTGTTGTTGCAGCAGTAGTTAGGAGGAGGAGGAGGAGGAGGAGGAGGAGGAGGAGGAGGAGGAGGAGGAGGAGGAGGAGGAGGAGGAGGAGCTCCTGCAGCAGGACGAGGAGGTTGAGAAAGACAAGCAGCACCACCACCACCAACAAGACTGCCAGGCTCACCAACACAGCAGCGGGAGTAATACCTTTCGTATAGGCAGCAACGCTCCTCAAACCCCACATACACTCAGCAGTTCCATCAGCCTGAACACTACCAGCAGATGAAACTCAACCCTGAAGCCCAAACCTTGAATTGCAAAGAACGAAACCCCATACCCTCAACCACTAAAAACCCGATGCCTGTCCTCGCCCTCCTCCGGCAACTCTGGTACTGCCCAAGGTTCCAAACTCAATAGTCATAGGATGAGGACTGACCGTGCAGGCTGCCAAATCCAAAACCCTAAACCCAAGCATCACCTCAAGCACCAGGCTTCAATTCCAAAACTTCCGAACCCGAAACCTTAAAGACCTTGAAACCCTGCGCCTCAAACCGTAACACCTTAACCGTTCCTAGACGGCAAAACCCTCAACTCAAAAACCCGAAAGCCTAAGACCCTTCCTCCCTTTAGGGAAGTTCAGGGTACCCACGGAAGGAGAGGGGTGGTGGGTGCGTTTACGGTTCAGGGCTTAAGGTTTAGATTTAAAGATTTCGGGTTTAGGGGTTACTTGGAGGTTCATGGGTATTTAAAAAGTGGAGTTATAAGTAAGGCAACTATACTTATAACCCTTATAACCCATATTCGGGGACTTATAACCCCCTTATAGCTACCCATGAACCTCCAAGTAGGGCTTAAGGCTTAGGGTTTACCCTAAACCCTAAACCGGTTTAGGTGTCAGCCCAAGAGTCCGTGCTCGTCTTCGAGTAGAGCCGGCTCTGCATGATACCCATGCCCATGGCACGGATCAGCTTCCTTGGGAGGGGAGGTTTCCAGTTTGGGGAGTAGTTCAGGTTCAGGGTTTAGTGATGTTCACAGCTTGGGGTCTGGTTCAGGTTCAGGGTTTAGGATACTAAGCAAGAACATTAAAGGAACTAACATTTAGCCTGATTAAAGATTGGGGCGCGCTGCCCTAACTTCCTGGAGCTTTCAGAACTAGGCGAGGTCACGTTGCGTGCAAGGCGCTGAAGCTCGGTGGTAAGGCCTTCACCTTCCGGGATCAGATGCAAGCTGTCAGGGTCATTGAGAAAGGCATCGACGCCTAAGCCCCAAAACCCCTATTACTGATGTTGTGATGCTTACTATCATTTTTAACCTCAAAACCCTAAACCCCTAAAATCAAACATCCTGCCTGACATGGACTCCGGAGTGGAGGCCAGATGCCCCTGCTGCGGAGGGAATACCAGGTCGAAGTTCTTCACTAAGGTACCTTGGACTTACTTGGAGGGTCGGGGGACTTAGTAACTATAAGGGGTTCCTTTAAGGTTCCTTTAAAGGTATCTATAGAGATTCTATAAGGGTATACGGTCTAGGGTTTAGAGTACTTGGAGGGTCGGGGGACTTAGTAACTGGTTTGTTTTTAGGGACTTATAAGTACCATAACCCCAATTAGGGTCCCTTTTAGGGTCACTTATAAGACTACTTACTACCTACCTGCTAAGCCCCCCGACCCTCCAACTAGGGGGGAGTACTATAAGGGCTTCTATGAGGGCTCTATAAACAGTTCAGGGGTGCTTAGGGTTGATGATATAAATCCTGCATTACCCATAATAAGGAATATACCATAATTCCCATATCTTAGGTCCTTCGGGTAATGCAGGATTTATATCATCAACCGGTTGATGATATAAATCCTGCATTACCCTAAGGACCCTAAACTATGGGATTTATGGTATATTCCTTACTATGGGTAATGCAGGATTTACATCATCAACCGTTAGGGTCTTTGGGTTTTGGACGGTGTCCGCCTCACGGTTCAGGGTTTAGGATTTAGGGCTTAGCGTTTAATTAGGGTTTAGGGTTTAGAGTTTAGGGTTTTGGGTTTAGCGTTTAGTTAGGGTTCAGGGTTTAGGGTTTTGCGTTTAATTAGGGTTCAGGGTTTAGGGTTTAGCGTTTAATTAGGGTTTAGGGTTTGGAGTTCAGGGTTCAGGGTTTAAGGTTTAGCGTTTAATGAGGGTCTATGGTTTAGGGTTCAGGTTCAGGGTTTAGGACAACTCGGGGTGGAGTTCTGTAAGGGTTTAATTACACATGGTTCAATCAGGGGTTCTACGCAGGGCTCTACATGCGGTTCCTGATTTAGGACTTAGGGTTTAGGGTTTGGGGTTGTTGGGTTGAGTTTCGGCTTGAAGGATAGGGTTGCAGGGTTGAGAGTTTTAGGAGGTCCAGTGTTTCGGGGTTACAGGCCACGGGCATCTCAGCTTACAACTATGTAAGATATTTGCTCGCAAAACTGGAATGAGCGAAGAGTTTATACTGAATCAATACCTGTTGTGGATTCGCAGTTCAGAGCTGGACGAGTTGAGGGCTCGGCCTGTGCAACGCAGTGGGCCGTGACACGTACAAGAGAGATCTGGCGTATGGTATACTGTAGTTGCATGGGTGGTTGTCAACATTAGGGTCCCTACTATAATACGGCACCCAATATTTCGGGTACCCAAAACGTGACCATAATTTTGACAGCCACCCACATAGGAACTCTAAGGGGATATCGTTACTAACTAGTCAGGCCGTCAGGCCCGCATGCTTTGGTGCTGTTGCTTCTGTTGATGATATAAATCCTGCATGACCTAAACAATGGGAATTATGGTATATTCCTTTTGATGGGTACTATACTGAACTTAGAACCCTAGCAAAAATTATAATTTTAGCTGCCTCTTAGGGATTATAATAACCCAGAATTAAAGCATGTTTCCAAAAGTACCCCTAAGGGTAATGCAGGATTTATATCATCAACCGCTCAGCCTCAGGTTCAGAGTTACGGTTGCCACCTTGTTAGCAGCCTGGCCATGATGACCATACGAGTGATGATAGAAATCCTGCATTACCGATCATAAGGAATATACCATAATTCCCATATTTTGGGATCCTTAAAGTAATGCAGGATTTATATCATCAACAGTACGAACCAGAATGACTTGCTGGTTTAGGGCTTGAGGTTTACCGTTCTGGGTTTAGGTAAATGAGACTGAGAAACCCCAGAACTCCAACCCTGAACCCCGAACCCTCCACCGACACCCCGCCGAGCTGCAGAGGGCACGAATGTGCCCGGCGCTGTTGAGCCTTTACTTCGTTGCGCATTGCGGAGTAGACGGAGGATCATGGGGCTATAGTTCGAGTTAGTATTAGCGAAAGTTATAATTAGAAGTACAGTTACCTTTTCTCCAAACCCAGTTTGGAAATCCCGTGATCCCTCAATAATTCCAAAACAAATGTTTCTCTTCTTGCTCTGGATAGTAGCAAGTAGCCCGTCATCCGCAACAATCCCGATTTTGGGATGTTCAGAAAGCAATGAATCCTCTTACAGGATTCCAAAGCATAAGACACTTACTATAGGGACCCCTGCAGCCTGTTTTGAGCAGCCTTTGGGGTGTGAAGAAACCCAGCGGATCTAGCGCTGTGCCTGTGTACTCTTGGAGGGAGGTTCGTGACGTCGTGGCTACTTATAAGTGGGGTTATCAGTAGGGTAACTGTAGTTACAAGCCGTAATAGCGACAACTACCCATGAACCTCCAAGCATGCATTCCGACTCCACAGGTTCCACCCTCCAAAGTTTTGAGATAGCGTTGCTGTGCTTTAAATATACTGGGGAATACTACTACTAATTTAGTTTTCTCAAACATGCAACAATCGATGCTTGACATTTTCCGGGCATCACCCTATGGTACTGACTCATGCCCCAAGACCAAGTCTGTGCTGAGCCACACCAGCGTGGTGGTTCGCTCCTCGCCAGACGTCTTCTGCGGCTGCGATGCAGGCGGGCCTGTTATCACGCATGACACCCTCGTTCAAACAGTCAGTCTCTATCATCCTTTAAAGCTCTAATATAAGGGCCTTGCTGATTACCTACATTATTTTGGTGGTTCCTTATTGTAGTTGTAGTATAATAGGACCCAAAATCCCATTCCAATTATTAAGGCCTCTACATTAGATGCTGTAACCATCTGAGCCGGTGGCTGGGCTGGAAGCGTCTCAGCGCGCCGAACCCCAGTGCCAGGGCCAGCAGCATTGAGTCTAGCCTTGTCGTTGGGTGTATAAGTAAGGTATCTATAATTATGACCCATATAAGGGGACTTATAACTCTACTTATAACCACCCCTGAGCCTCCAAAGTAGGGGCCCTAAGAAATGGAAGAGGCTTTTAGGGTATATTATAGCATAGCTATACTTAAAAAAGTAGCCCTAAGGAATGATATTCGTAATTCTTTAGGCGTCCATAGTATGTGTTAGGGACTCCAGGAGTCTTTTCTGAGAGGTGATGGAGGCACTTTGATTCCACAGACTCCATAGGTTCGCGGTCTAGCGTTGGGTGGAATAAGGGGCGACATGGGTTTTTTGAGAACATCAAAAGCATTGTTGACCTAATCCCTAAAACCTCAATCCTAAACCCTAAACCCTAAATCCTAGACCCTAAACCCTAACCCTGAATCCTAAACCCTAAACCCTAAACAACCGAAGAAGCCGAAGGGTTGCCAGGGATCTTCCTTGCAGTAGTAGAGGTGAAGTCCCAATAGAAGTGGCGGTCCTACCTGTTGTGTCATATGACACCTACTCTTCTTGCGGCTACTGCATTCCTACGTACCTTATATGGTCAAACGTCTGTCTCACCCCAATAGAAACCACCCTTTTAATCACCATCCTAATTGTACCCAAGTAGTGCCCCTTGGGTCCTGAACGGCTTCTTTCAAATCGGCCTCTGAGAAGTTGCGGGGTCCTCAACCCTAAACCCTAAACTCCTAAACCCTAAATCCCAAACTCCTAAACCCTAAACCCTAAACTCCTAAACCCTAAACCCCAAACAGGCAAGCGGCGGGTAGGCGACAAACTGCTCGCGCTCCAGCTGAGGCATGAACCTCGAGGCGAGCTAGAAGCTGCTCCGAAGCAGACTTCAGGGTTCCTTACTTGGAGGGTCGGGGGGCTTTGTAGGTAGTAAGTAGACTTATAAGTACCCTAGAAGGGACGCTATAATTGGGGCTGTGGTACTTATAAGTTCCTAAAATAACCAGTTACTAAGTCCCCCGACCCTCCAAGTAAAGGGGTCTTTCAGGGACCTGTAGTAGGGCTTTATTACAAGAGTTTGAGTTGTGGCTTTTTAGGGTTGACTTAAGGTGTAATAGAAGGCTTCAACAAATAGAATTCAGAATAAGCTTTTGGGGCAAACTATAATGTGATACGGACTGCAAGGGAATGGTATCAGTAATCGTTCAGACCCTTGTGGTCGGCTGCTATCTTGGCTCCAGGTATTCTTTGTCAGGTCTGGGATGTGGGATGGATGCGTTTCCCTTGTGTTTACGGTTTGAGGTTCAGTGATGCCGTGGGATTTTGAGCTGACGGGATCACACTTGAGGCTGCCAGAGTTTTAGTCCCCTAAACCCTAAACCCTAAACCCTAGGGTTTTGGCGTTTAGGGTTTAGGAAACAGACTCGACAAACACCTGCAGGAAGTGTGGTTCGCCTCCACCCTGCACGCAGTATTGCCAAACAGCAAGAATGCGAGCAGCACCAATATGGACAAGAGTAGCAACAAGACTGCTGAAAGCGAGATACTACGCTTATACATATAAAAGTCCTAAAAGAGCAATCATGCAAGGTAAAGAACCGAACCCCGAACCGCGAACCGGAACCGACTTCTCAGGAACCACAATGCCGGTTTAGGAACCGCAAACCGCGAACCTGCCGAACCGAACGGCCAAGTCGGTTCCCAGCTTGCCTTGTGACTTGGAGGTTCATGGGTAGTTATAAGTAGGGTTATCAGTCCCCTAATATGGGTTATAAGTATAGTTACCCTGATTACAACCCTACTTATAACTACCCATGAACCTCCAAGTAGAGGCATGGAACCTTCTGTCCCTCTGCGAGGAAAATCTTCTGTCATGTACAGGCCGGAAACATGTTTGCATAAATCTGAATCACTGTTTCAAAACCGCAACCGAACCGAACTATTTCATTCATGGAAGAAGGAATGCCATTTTCGTGCATCAAAGTCTCCATTTTGACAGGGGTTTCTTGGTGGTCAGGCCCTTGTCGAACTTCTTCGCGATCTTCCTGGCGGTGCCGCTTAGCCGCAAGTTTCGTGGGTCCGGATGGTATCCGACCCGGAAACCACAAGCGCTCACATCATGAGACCTTCAATAGCCCTGGCCAGCAAGCTTTAACCCTCAACCCATAGCCTTGAAACCCTAAAGTCATAACGATCCCAGAAGCCTAAAGCCCAAAGCTCTACAATGCTATGAATCAAAAACGAATTCTAGAACTGGCTAGAAACAACAAGCCCTTAAACTCTAAACCCTCAACCTTAAACCTTAACCCAAAGCCCTGGCCGTAACAACTCCGAAACTCAATACCCCTAATATAGGGGCCTTAATTACTAGACTAGTACTAGGCTTATCATATCGGGGCCTTGATAATTAGACTACGGCTTTGGGCAGTATGTTATACTAGATTCGCTGCGAAATAGCACTATGATTGGTGATTGATCTTGTTTTGAACCTCCGTATTCCCCCCAAGCCTTAAGCCCTAAGTTCCCAACATCGAACCCAAAAGCTCCAAAAGGTCAAAGCCTCCCAACACCGCTAAGATGCCTTGTCCTCCACTTGCAAATGTGACTCCGTAAGTGTGCAAAGCGTGCTCGGGATTTGGGATTCACGATTCAGGATGTGGATCATTGTGTCGTCAAACCCGGGCATTCGAGAAGGTGGGTTCTGAAAAACGTGTGACGATTGACGGCCACGAGTAGCAGGGCTCCCCTCTTGCCTGAAGGCTGTCTTGTTCAGGCTGCGGTAATTGTCCAGCTCTACCAAGACGTCTGCCTCCAGCAGCAAAGGCTTGGGGGTTGGAGATAACACTTGAAGTCAGAGGAGGGTTTAGGGTCCAGCGTCTACAGTTAGGGTTGGAGTTAAGATTTGCGGCGTTAACATGTCGCTCTTGGGCTTCGGAGCCAGGATTGAACGACTGAAGACTCGGAACAAAAACAAAATCTATACATCGAACATCCCCCCTAAACTCTCGAAGGTAAACCCTCAAAACCCTGAACCCTCACGCCTTCAAACCTTTAACCCTTACTTAAACCCTCAGCCGGAAACTCTTAAGCCCTGAAGCTTGAAAACCCGAAACATTTCCAGCCCCAAACACTCACTTGGAGGTTCATGGGTAGTTGTAAGTAGGGTTGTAAGTCCCCAAATATGGGTTTTAAGTATAGTTACCCTAATTATAACCCTGCTTATAGCTACAGTACCCATGAACCTCCAAGTAGGCCCTAAACCCTGTACCTTGTAAAATCCCTATAGATCCCTTTTAAGGGACCCTTACAGGAACCCTTATAGCTACCCCATGAACCCACCCTCAACCCGAAGGGAACCGCCAAGTAGTAGACCCTTATAGAATCCCTATAGATCCCTTTAAAGGGACCCTTAAACCCTAAACTAAACCCTAAACCCTTCACCCTAAACCCTAAGGGTTGAGGATACAACATCCGCAAGCCCAGCTTAGGGCTCGCACCGCCGTCTGAAGGAACTTGGCGGCCACCGGCAGGTTGTCCCCTCCGCCTGACCCGGTGGCGTTGGCAACTCTAGGGTCTTTAGCGCCTGGGGTTTTAGGGTTCAGGATTTTGGAGTTCAGAAATCAAGGTTCAGGGCTTAGGGTGGAGGGTGGCTTAGGGTTTGGGGTGGTAGGATTTGGGAGTTTCCGAAAACAGGGGACCCTGACATAGTACCCTAAATAGTAGGATCCTTATTACAAGGACCCCAAAATGAGGTACCCCTAATTTTCGGAAACTCCCATTTAAGTTTAGGGTTCAAGGTTCAAGGCCCGGGGCTTGGGGTTTTGGTGTTGATTCCGTCGGACAGTCGTCGTTCGGTGTCGAGCATCGGGACCTTAGCCTGGGATTTGGGTTTCGGGCTTAGGGTTTAGGGTTTAGAGGTTAATGTTTAGGGCTTAGGGTTTAGGGGGTAGGGTTTAGGGTTTGGGGTTTACCCCTCTCAAGACGAAAAACACAACCTTCCATGCTAAACTGAGCTTCCTCCTCCCTACTTTGTCCATGAAACCCTAACCTCCCAACACCTAAGTCACTTAAACCTATGTAACTGGTACATCTGTCCGAACCATGAAAAGGCTTAGTGCGCAACTTTGCGGTTTTAGTCAAGGGGCGGGCTTAGGGTTTAAGGTACAGGGCTTGAAGGGCGGCAGAAAATGTAATCCGAGTGAGAAATACTAAGACTCTACATATCTTGTTGAGGGCCTTACTTTATGGGTCAAGGCTCGTTTTCAGGACACAAAACATTTCTTAATGCGGCACCCTGTTGCTTGCCTAGGTGGGACAAGTCCTCTGAAAGCTAAGCGCTTGGCAAATCTATAAGAAGACCACACAATTCTCACAGTGTTGACAGAAGCGGACAAGCAGCTCGGACAAAGCCCCGTGGAACCTCACAGACAGGCTCTGTAGAAACCCATGAAAACACTGTTCCGAATTGTGTCGAAATGCGTCCAGGCCCAAAACCATGACCTCAACTTGAAAGAAGTGGTACTTGTAGAACTTTCAGCATATCTTTTAGCCATCTTCCGCAGTGATGCCATGTTAGAAGACCGGGGTCCAGCATGCAAACGCGATGCGCGCCTCCAGCCTTCACATGCTGGAACAGGGCCGCCTGCGCTTCTTTGAGATTGTCCTGGTCGTCGCCCAAGGCTCCATGCACACCAGAACTCAACGCCGGAAGGTCCTGCACTAGCTAAGCCTGAAAACAAAACCAGTTGAAGCGGCGACGCTTGGTTTCACTACTCAGCACCTGCACATCCCCACCGCCGTCATCACCATGACGCTCACCATCATCACCATCATCACCATCATCAACATTGTCAACATTATCAGACGTAAGGCTCCAGAAAGCCTGAGCCCCAAAACCTTTTACACTTCAATCCGAAACCCCGAAACCCTAAACCCTAAACCCTAAACCCTAAACCCTAAACCCGAAACCCTAAACTCTAAACCCGAAACCCTAAACCCGAAACCCCAGAGCCGAGACCGGAAACCCCACGGTCCACGATGGACCGAAGCTGCAAGGAGAAGTGTCTGTTCACCTGGGTTGTGCTCTTAGGGTTTAGGGTTTAGGGTTTAGGGGTTTAGGGTTTAGGGTTTTGGGTTTAGGGGTTTAGGGGTTTAGGGTTTAGGGGTTTAGGGTTTAGGGTAAAGTGCTTTAGAAGGGGCCCCCACCCTGTAATAGTGACCATAAGGATTATATTATTATATAGGATTATATTAGGGCCCTATTAGATTCCTATTATACCACTATTACAGGGTGGGGGCAGCTTCTAAGTTGTGCTCTTATAGTAAAAGCCAGAAAGTTGGAATATCATTATCATACTCCCTTTAAGGTAAATTATAGGGGATCCTGCCATTATTCCATATTCCAACTTTCTGGCTTCTACCTTAAAGACTTGAAAATTATTTACGACTAGGTTCCCTTTAGAAGGAAATAAGGGAAATTAAAAATTATCCCAGACCACAACCCAGTCACCTTCTGCATCTCATGGTTGATCAGCTCGTAGAATCTCGCAGGCGTCAGGGAGTTTAGAGTAGGGCTTGGGACTTAAACGTAGCTCTAGATTTGGGATTGCAACCTTAGGATGGGAGGTCTTGCGGCGGTAATTTGCAGTGTGCAGGATAGAGGTCGGACGAACTACAAATGTACCACGTTGATGATATGAATCCTGCATGACCCATAATAAGGATTATACCATAATTCCATAGTTTAGGGTCCTTAAGGTCATGCAGGATTTATATCATCAACAGTAGTATTCCTTTACAGCTTCCCCTACAAACCTACTATGGAAACCTCCAAACCCTATTCTAAGTGCAAAGGCCCCTATGATAACACCTGAAAAGTAAACTTTGTCGAACTCTTACTAGGATACCGAGTAACCTAATAATAAAAAGGCCTCTCTTTTTGGTATTGGGTAACTTTATAAGGAACCTAGGACTACAAAAAGGGAATAAGGGCACTACTGGGCATCCTAGAAGTAAACTTTGCCGAACTCTTACGAGGGCCCTACTTTCATTGTCGCTAAGACCCTCTTGTTGCTTCGGGACCAGTCCGGGGGCAGGACATCGGAAATGAGTGTAAAGAGGACCCCCGAGAACCTGCAACCTAAGTCTTAAGCCTTTTTAGGGCTTCTGGGGTTTAGGGCTACGGATCTCAAGACTCAAATCCTAGGCCCTAAGCCTCAAAATCAGGGCCTCGGGTTTGGAGTTCACGGTTTGAGCTTACGATCCCAGATGCTCCCAGCAGCCATCCCCTGTTGGGATCCGGATAAAGACTTTAGGCATTTGTGAGCACACAAGGTTTAGGGTCTAGGGGCTTAGTCTCCTTTGCGGTAGTATTTTCAAGGCTGCTTTCGACAGACCTCTTATAGGATCCTTAAGGGAGGGTGGTTCAAGGGGGGAGGGTATAAGGAATCCTTAGGGGACTGTAAGGGAACCTTAGGGAGTACTAGGGAGAATTAGGGATCACTAGGCTATATACCCCGCTTGGACCCCCCTCCCTTAAGGATATTACAAACCTTCGATGTGACAGGCCCATCTGAACCCAATGACCTGCACCCTGAAACCCAAAACGGCAGACCTGGAAACACAAACTACATAAGTATGACCGGGATGTTGCCAACAGTACCTCAAGAGACACCAGAAGGCAGTAGCAATAAAGGTGATCATTAGGGAGGGGGTAGCCAAAAACTTCGCAACAGCAACAGCGGCAATGTTCTGACAGATGCTGATGGTAGTGACAGTGGTGGTCATAATTAAACCATACTGAGAGTAATGCAAGAGTTCTGGCGGCCTGGACTCGGGAGGCTGTCCGCTTGCGCTCGTGGTGGAGTTCCCGAAAGCTTCACTAACCTCTCGGTTTTGGAGGCATCTGAGAGAGGCTTCTCATGGGTATCCGGGGGGTTACATGATGTTCGTACGATTTAGGGTTTAGGGTTTAGTTTAGCGTTTAGGGTTGAGGGTTTAGGGTAGGATTTAGGGTTTAGGGTGTAGGGTTGCTTCTGTGGGGGTTCTGGGTTTCTGTCGGTGCCTATGGGGACTTTGTGGGGTGTCTGCAAGGAGTCTCATCGGCTTTCTTTGAGGTTTCCGTCGACATTGCATCGGAACTCGGAGCCCCCCGAAATCGACGCCCTTTAGAGTCAAGCCTTCGACAATACAAAGGCCTGGACATGCCTCCTTCTAAACCCTCGGCCCGAAACCCTAACCCCCAAAACCCCGCCAAACCCTGCCCCCCAAAACCCCAAACCCGACTGTAGAGCCTAAACGCCTGGTCTAGGGTTTAGGGTATAAACGGTGCCTCCTTCTCGTCCGTGCTTGCTACGCCGCCCCCAGCGGCAGATGCCTCTTCGGCCGTGCGTTTTTTCTCCGCTTCCTGGCAACTTTTTCGCTCTCAAGGCTCCATGGGTAAATCTAAAGGATTCCTTTAAGGGTCCCTTGAAAGGGCTCTATAGAGATTCTATAAGGGTATAGGGTTTATAGAGTCTACTTGGAGGTTCATGGGTAGTTATAGGTGGGGTTATACGTCCCCGCATATGGGTCATAAGTACAGTTGCCCTACTTATAACCGCATTTATAACTGCCCAGGAACCTCCTAGCAAGGTCCTTTTAGTTTGGAAATAGGGTCTTGGATGTCTTGGCAGATGCTATACCATAAGTACACAGGGACTGTAAGTGGATAGCATTGCTGTCAGAGTCACTATTGCTATTGCTTTTACTATTTATCCCGACATCTATGTGAAGATTTCAGGAATTCGGAGCTGGATTTAGGGCAAGGCCTTGGGAAACTATCCGGGCCGCCTTCCGAACTGTCGTTCGCACATGCAGGGCCCTAAACTCCAAAGCTCCAGAACCAAGCTCGTAATATAGGGGCCTTAATCATTACAATAAGGTTTTGGGGCCCAAAATAGTATAGGTAATTATTTAGGCCCCTATATTAGGGGTGGGTTTAGGGTTTAGGGTACGCTTCCTGAACCATCCGTCTTCTTCACCACCTGGAGGGCTTTCTTAATGCCACTGCCAGCAGCTACTTCACAGAAACTGCGATATCGAGGCTTTTGGGCGTGAGGATGATCTTTTCAAGATGAAGGTGCCACTGCTTCCGTGCTCAAAAGACCACCTACCAAGATGAGCAGAGACACGGCAACTGCCAGAATCATGAACCACGACTTAACCGATGCTACGGGGAATGTGCGCGCCTGGAGGACGACAATGGCCTGATTCAGGAGTGGGCGTGTTGGAAGATGGACACATTATGCCTTCCCGGAATCCTGCATAATATGCGCTGTAGCAAGGCATTTTGCGCTTGGGGAATCAAAACTGCTCCTTGCCGAGAACCACCCCAAGCAGGTTTGAAGAGCACAACCCAAAGCTTGAGCCACTTAGCATTGTTTCAACCAGGTAAACTTCAAGGACGTCTTTGCCGAAGCTGAGTACTTTTAGGGTACTTATAACTCTACTTATAACCTACTTACTAAGTTCCCTGCCCCTCCAAGTAAAGCTGAGTAGAACGAAAGGGGTGGGGTTCAAAATCATCACAACAAACAAGCTCGAGTGAGGTCCGCTTTAGGACAGTAGTCTCATTTGGGCGTTTCCGAAAATTAGGGGTACCATGTTTTGGGGTCCTCATAACAAGGATCCTACTACTTAGGGTACTATATTCAGGTCCCCTATTTTCAGAAACTCGCAAATTGCAAAAAACCGGGACCTGAAACTAGGATTACCAGATGAGTCACAGCTTAGCAAAGACCTGCCGCGCCTTCTTGAGCACATCGTAAGCGACATACTGATTCAGGTGAGACGGGGGCGCGACGCGCTTGATGAGCTTTCCAAATTTCATCCTCAGCTGACCGAAACACAGTACCACGTGTAATAGTGTACTCAGAGGAAAATATTCGTTTATATGAAAGGCAAGAGTAATGATAAGGATATTGTTATATGCTTGCAAGCATCCACATTTCTGATCTGGTGTAGGGCGGGACAACACCGTAAACCCCAAACCACAGGATACTTTGCCAGACAAGGAAGCCCATCACCCCTGAACCGCGACGCCTTGGGACCTCTTCCCAGACTCTCCGCCTACCCCTAAACCCTAAACCCAAAACCCTAAACCCAAAGCCCTGAACCCTAAGCCAAGGCTCGGTTAAAAGTTCTGCAGGATTCAATCCGCGATCTAATTCCGCCTCTTCCGCCTCTACGAGGAGCGACGAGGCTATGGGACCCCCCCTGTTTGAGCCCCACAAGGCAGCGGTGGAAAGCAGCTTTCGGATGAGGGTTTAGGATTTGGGGGTTCGGGTTTAAGGTTTAGGGTTTAGGGCCAAGTTTAGGGTTTAGGGCTTCGATGTGGCATGGCCTTGGCGACTTAGACATGCATGGTGCATGGGCTTCTTCCGGAAAGTCAAGGCACCAGCAACGTCAGAAAAATGAGTGAACGCTTGTGCCGAGGATCATGCCATGCTCTTCCTTCATCCAACCTGAAGCCTAGGTCCCTAGTTCCGCCGTCCCCAAACCCCGTACCCTAATAACGAAAGAGCTGCCAGCCTTCTGCACCCGGTTGCTCGCTTTGTCCATGCCGTCGCTGATGGCACGAGCATTGTCACTGAGCAGACAGGGGACTCGCTTCAAGGCAGGTCCAAGGTTGTTTCGATCAGCAGGGGAACAGTTGAGAAGAGGTGTTGAGTACAATGCCGTGCCGCACATGGACTGACCGGCGGTGTCAGGGTCACCGCTAATGACGCTAATGTTGATCTTGGGAGAAAGACTATATGGCATTATGCGTCCTATTCTCTTTTCAAGCGTGCCTAAACCCTGAGCCCGAATCGAACCAACACCCTCACTCAAAAAGACAAAAATCCTGCACCCATAAACCCGAAAACCCTCTGCTTAACCTCTATAAGCCCTAAACCCTAAACCCTAAACCCTAAACTCTAAACCCTAAACCCTATAAACCCTATAAACCCTAAACCCTAAATCCTAAACCCTAAACCCTGAACCCTGAACCCTAAACCCTAAACCCTAAACCCTAAACCCTAAACCCTATAAACCCTAAACCCCAAAGCTCCATCCAAGGCACCACTCCAGCTGCAGCTCCTGAACCTTCGCCTCTAAGGCAGCCTTCTCTTCCGCCACCTTCAAGGACTTCAGGGAGGGGTTTCAGGGAGGGGTTTTGAGGGTTTAGGTGTTAGGGTTCAGGGAGGGGCTTCTGGGGTTTTAGGGTTTAGGCTTCAGGGTTCAGGGAAGGGCTTCTGGGGTTTTAGGGTTTAGGGCTGTTGGGGGTTGTAGAGTTGGGTGTTTAGGACTTCGGTTTGATGATTATGCTGATGCTGGTAGTGGCGCTGGCGACGGTGTGATGGTGATTACAGTGAACTTGTATGATTGTCATGGTGGCGGTGGTGATGATACATATCGGTAGCGCTATAAATTAAGGGCCCTGTTTCAGGCCTCCAAATAGTACGGCACCCCTATAAAAAGGAGCGTAAAAGGGGCTCCTTGTTTACAGAACTGCCCATGTGACGTCGAAGATGACGGCATGATCCTGGGCTGTAGTTGGGGGATTATATAAATGTAGGCTACCAAATACGGAAACCATATTTTTACTTTAGATCCCTATTAAGGTAACGTAAACCTTAAACCCTAAACCCTTCAAGGAACCCTTGTAGATCCCTTAAGGGAACCCTTATAATATAGGACCCCTACTGTAACTTAAACTAAATTCCTTAGCAAGAGACCAGGATCATCGGATGATCCCCGAGAGCCTGAACCCTAAAACGAAAGCTCTAAACCCAAAACCTTGAACCCTAGACCCTACAGAGTCCTTGAAGGAACCCTACTTATAACTACCCATGGGTGGTTGTCAAAATGATGGCCCCACTAAATATTAGGTGCCGTAATATACTAAGGACCCAAAAAGGGACCCCAATTTTGACAACCACCCCCGTGAACCTCCTAGTCATCATCCCCCACAGCCTGCTGCTCGATCTCGCGCCGCTTCTGCGCAATCGCCTCCTCGAGGGCAGCCTCGGGAGCCGAGAAGCCATGAGCAAATATGATATCTATTAATACAATGAATATAATGTAACAGTTAACATGTATAATCTACGGTATAATAACTCATATAGTATATAATGTAGAATATAATGTATCATGTATAACATGATGTATGATGTATAGTACAAGGTGTGATGTTTATAGAAATGATAAAATATATTACCTGTAATAGTTAATCTACTATATGTATCTGAGACTAGTGGAGACAACAGCCAGTACGACACGCAGCAGTCGGAGTCATAGCAGTAGTTGTTATCGTACCCCAGTGCCCTAAACCCGAAACTGTAAACTCGAGTCTTAGTCCTAATACCAGTCCCAGTACTGGGGGAGCAAGACACCTGGGTTCCCGGCGTGCTCGCGCATCATCTGGTCGAGCTTCGTGGTGAGGTCAGAGATCTCTAGATCCTCGGTCAGGGTTTGGGCTCTAGGGACTAGAAGGTTACTACGGCTCTATGTGGGTTGAGGATTTGGGGCTTGAAGTTTAGTGTTTTTGCTGGCATTCTTGTGGATTGGGGTTTAGGGTTTAAGAACCAGCTTAGCAGGAGTGGCTTGCAGATTGATCCGACCCAAGCTCCTCAACCCTGAACCTCTGGCCATAACCCTAAAGCCATGCTACTAGAGACTTTGTATGTAGCATGCTATCCGCTGTCGTTTAGATTCGGTTAGATTCGTTGATTCGTTTAGATTCGATGTCGCTTCCCGGGGGGGCCCGTGCTTGTACGATTAGCCTTACTGATAATTGCGCAAAGGTTTCGGTAAGAACGCCCTCACCCCCAAACCCTAAACCTTACCTTTGGTCAGTAGAGAACGGAAGAATGGTAGTAATCGTAATAATACCTGTACCCCATTCCTCCATTCCCTACTTGTAGTAACCCTAAGAAACGCTAAACCGAAAGCCCCGAAGCATGAACTCTAAAGCCGAAGCCCGTAATCCGAAACCCTAAAGCGGTCTAGAGCCCTTCTGCTAACCCTGTAACCTTGAAAAAAGCCCTAGACCGAAACAACCCTGGACAGTCCCTAAACCCCTAAGCCGCAAACCCCCAAACCCTACTTCGAGGTTCATGGGTAGTTATATCTGGGGTTATAAAACTCCTAATATGAGCCTATAAGTATACTTACCCTACTACCCCACTTGTAACTAACCATGAACCTCCAAGTAACCCCCTGAGTCCCGCCTTCTCCTCGCTCAGCCGCCTCCACTCGCCAACGGAAGCCGTCAGAGAGTCCACATTCTGCCGGGGGCTCTGGATTGAGGACGCAAGGGACCAGGATTTTGGATTTCGTGCTTCAGGCCCTAAGAGTTTCGGATTTAGGATTTGAGGGTTAATTCCTGGTTTAGGAGTTAGGGTGTAGCCTTTAGGAAGGGTGTTTTAGGTTCAGGGAGGGATTTCGGGTATAGGGCTCGCGGCCTAGGGCTCAGGTGACGACCAGGATTCCGCTGACGATAGCGGTGGCCATCATGGTGAGGGCTGGTAAGCAATGGAGACGGTAGTGGTAATGGTGATCAAAGCCATAGTCATGGTAGCAACGACCGTGCTTTTGCATTTCGGGATATGTTTCGTTGATGGTGGTGACCATGATAGTGTCTATGGCAATCCACATCCTGATCAGAATCTAAGCGATTATCGCGGCTCCTGCTGATGTTGGCGCGCCGGGATGTGGTACTTCTTCATGCGGCAGTATGTAATTCAGGTAATGACCATATCATACTCATTATGCTATGTTTTATGATAGTATGGCATAATACAGTACAGTATAGTATAGTACAGCACAGCATGGTATAGTATAGCGTATTATATGAAACTATATCTTATTTAATAGGGTGTGTCGGCGTAGCAAGAGGATATGGCTGAACGGGTGTGTCAGGCGTCCAGCGCTAAGGCTCAGGTCGGTGGTCTGGGCCGCGAAGCTTGTAATGTAGTTGCTATAATAAGCGGGTACTATAAAAGTGCAGTATTGGGGCCTTAATGATTAGAATAGGGTTTTGGATGGATATTAAAGGGTACCTAAAAGGAATGATCTGGGGAATTATTCGGGCTTCTATAGAAATGGCACTTAAGGGGGGGGGGGGGTGCACTGTGCAGTCCGGGCTTGGGGAGTCGTAGTTTCAGAAGACCTTGCCACAGTAGTTCCGTTGGGCTGACATGCACGAGTCGACACAAAAGTCACTAATAGCCCAAACCCCTAAACCCTAAACCCCTAAATCCTAAACCCCGAAACCTTAAACCCCTAAACCCCGAAACCCCTAAACCCTAAACCGTTGCGAAACCCCTAAGCCCTGTCGACAAAAGCTTGAGGCTGCCTGAAGCCTTCAGATGGAGACCGGCCTCATTGGAGGACTTCAACCGCTTCTCTAAGTTGAGCTTGTCCTTCAAGGAGATGGAACGCACTTAGAGTCTGGGTTTTACGGTTCAGGGTTTGAGGTTTGCGGTTTGGGGTTTAGGGTGCAGGGCTTTGGGTTAGCATGCTCTATGCTTGTACCCATGCTTCCTGCATGAACTTATCTTGCTTAAGAGCTCTTGCCAAGTCCTTACGTGTTCCTGAACCTTGGATCTATACTGATCAATTGAACTTTTGGTAGTATGAATTGTTTGCGCTTGCTGTTCTACTGCAAGTTATTAACCCACCAGGCTTTGTACATTCAAGAGGCGCTCTTGCTTGCTGATAGTCGTCTTGGTCTGCACTTTCATGAATGAGGATGATGCTGTTTCGAAACACGCAGCAACATTAGTCACAAAACAAACTGTTGCAGCAGTGTGCATGGGGATGATGATGATGATGATGATGATGCTGATGATGATGGTGATGGTGCTTATGATGCTGCTGATGATGATGATGCTGAAAATCAGACCTGAACCGTCCAAAAGCGCTGCTGCCCCAGACCTCCAGCCTTGCCAGAAAGCAATAAGCCTGTCCAACAGGAACGCCGAGAAAGGCACCGAGAGCAAAAATGTCCTCAGCCTCCCTAGTAGCATTTTAGAACCGCTGTAAAACTGTTGCGATGTTGGAACTCGTTTTCGACTAGAACCCATGTGGAGCCCGCACCACAATTACCGAACCAGTGTTATTATGGAACGTTTTGGGACATTTATTCTTTTTGCACTCTTGCAGAACCCTAAACCCCAAACCCTCAACCCCAAAACCTGAAACCCTAAACCCTGAACCCTGATGCAATCCTAAAAGGCATGGTCCTCCTAAAAAACCGTAACCAGAAACCCCCAAACCCCCAAACCCTAAACACCTAAACCCTTAACCCCTAAACCCTTGAACCCCCAACCCTAAATCCTAAAACCGCGATGGTCCTTGGAAAGGTTGCTCGCGAGAATGTCTAAGCCGGCAGGGCCCTCCTCGAGGATGATGAACCTGACAGGCTCTTCGTTTTAAGGTTTAGGGCTTGAGGGTTTTACGGTTTAAGATGTAGCCTTAAGGGTTAGGACTTAAGGTTGAAGGTTGAGGACCGTGGCGTGGATACTACGAGGGGGAGTGCTCAGTCATAGTCCGGCGGATTGAAACGAACGGCTGGCGGCATTTGGGTTTCGGCTACGAGATGGGCGAGCCAACAACAAAGGTTTGAACCAAATGACTACATCAGCAACGGACGCCTGCTCGTGCACCGCAAGATTAGAGTGATTAGAGACTACGGGCCAGCAGCCGTTCGACCGCAAAAAATCAGAAATGGTAGATACCCATGCCAGCAGGTTCAGGCTTCCCATGCGCACCAGGTGCTTCAATTGCCCCCGCCCCAGCCAGACCCAAACCAAGGAAAACACCACGAAGAAGCTGGAGCAGAAACGTGTCCACAACAAAAGCCGAAGCTGCGAAGGTGACCACCGAGACCCATGGCTTCGACACGTGCAGCGGCGATGTTTAGGGTTTAGGATGTTTACAAGTTCAGGGTCTCGGGTTTAGGGTCACGGCATCCGAAGATTCCCAGGAAAAGATGCACCAGGAGAGGTAGGGAAAAGAGCTCCCCACGCACCGCCGGCAAAGACGAGAAGTACGAGGCACGGTCATCAACCCGGCTGTCCGGCCCCTCCCCGCACCCCCACCTGATCACGAAAACCCACCTCCGCGAAGGGAGGTCAGCAATCTAAAGACAGCAGCCGTGCCAGAGGTCAGCAATCTAAAGACAGCAGCCGTGCCAGACAAACACACGAAGTGCAGGCAAGCTGGTGCCGAAATTGCCACAAATACAGGAACCCTGAACCCTAAACCGCATGCGCACGGCAAAGCGGTCCTCACCCAAGCAAACATGTAGACGCATCACAAGTAAGATGTGTTGTGGAAACCAATGTAAACGACAAGCAATAAAGTAATACAAGACGTGGTAGGTGAAGGGCGCATCACTATCCTCATCGTCGTCAAAGCGTGCAACAATCATCCTGGCCGCCCCCCTATGCCGTAATTAACACTCCAGCCACGCATGTACCTATAGCTCGACAAAAAAATGACCCTTCTTGTCCCGACCAGAATACCCAAAAACGCCCTGAACCCTGGACACACAATACAAACAGCTAACCCTAAACCCTGAACCCCAAACCCCTAACACCCCTAAAATCCGAAGCCAGGAACCCTGAACCGTGTAACAAGACCCGCCTCTGCTCAAATGCTAGGAGCTCATGCTCAAACTCCTCGACAGAGAGCGCTAGAGCTTAGGCTTTAGAGTTGAGGGTGTTGGGGTTCAGGGTCCAGAGTCGAGGGTTCGGGTGTGAGGAGGTTCCCGTATACCCCTCGAGCGCCCAACAAGCACATAAGCAAAAATGAGGCTGGAATATCCCATATACCCCTAAACCCTAAACCCTAAACCCAAAACCACTCCCTTATAATGAAGCCAAATGCTTATGCTTATGTCCCTTCAGGGTCCCTAATGCTAGGGTTTTTGTTGATTGGGTTGCTTCACAGGTCTAGCAGTAGAAACAGGAAAGGTTTCTTTCAGGTACCTACCCTGGCATTTCAGAGAATGAAGAATGCTCATAATATAGAGGCCTTACTAACTAGAATTGCGCTTTGGGATACATTTTACGATATTATACTATAACTACACAATAAGGAATTTGCAAAGTAGCATTGGGAATTATTTAAGCCCCTATAGTAGGCAACAGCTGGATCCGGATGATACGGACCCAGGCTCTGAGAAACCCCATATTATAGAACTCTCAGACAGCGCCCTCATAAGATACTCTGAAACCTTCGTGGAAACCCGGGTCTCTATTAACGGCTTCTACAAGGGTTCCTAAAGAGGCTATCTCGGGGCGGCACCTCATCGCTATCATCAGGAGCGTCCGCATCTGGACGCGGAGGCACGAACTTTGCCTCGTTTGCCGGCACGTGAAGCACAGCTACGGTTCCATCGGCGGTTCCGTAAAAACTGAGGTCATCTTGTCTACGCGGTTTTCATAGGGCGTTACAAAGACTTCTGTATGCAGAGTTTCGTAAACTACGGGTGCTTGACTTAGGGGTGTTTCTAGTAAGGATCCTACAATTGTCTGGACGTCTTCGTTCGTAGGATCGGGTAGAACTGCCGCAGAGGGCCCAAGGATGCGGCGACAAATACAAGACGTACGCCTTATGCAGCTACTATAGGGGCCTTAACAGTTAGACTTTGGTTTTAGGCTATGTTATGCTATGATTTTAATCAGGAACCCCCAAAATAGTATGGGTAATTATTGAGGCCGTTGTTTTAGTTCAAGCTGCAAACCGTACAATACACCGAAGCAACTCCGGCCATGACTAGCTGTATAGCTAAAACGAAGAATCACATCTGACACGCCGCAGCAGAATCATGCACCAGTAGATGCCCATAGTTGCATAGATGCTCATGCCAGAGGAATGTAGCCAACGTAGTCTTATGCTACAAACCATGGCGCAATGAACCAAGAAGAGTGCCACACAGGTCGATATCATAAACATGCCCAACGAGAGCTTTGAGGACCCATTTCTCTTTCGGCAGCCTCACTTAACCTCAGGCGCTCTTCTCGGAGCTCACTTTGCGCAAGACGAAGAGATTCCCACGGTCGCCACGGCTCAACCGCAGGCTCTCATCCAGGTAGGTCACCTGCGGGTTCGTTCTTGGGTGCTCCATTTAAGTGCGAACCTTTAGACCTTCTATAAGTAAGATCTGAATCCTATGATTAAGGTCGTGTGATGTCGTCTGCTTTGAAACTCCCACCTGGAGGATGCCCGTGGCGGAGTCAGGGGCTTGGATGGGAAGGAGGCCGAAGAGTGTGAAGACCTTGAAGCGGACGCCCACCGTGGTCTTCTCCAGGCCCTCCACCTGGGAGTTTCCGAAAATAGGGGCCTACTAATATAGTGCCCTAAATAGTAGGATCCTTTATCGAAAATAGGGGGGCCCTAATATAGTACACGAAATAGTAGGATCCTTTTTCTAAGGACCCCAAAATGGGGAATTTTGCGAAACTCCACCTGTGGCAGGTAAGTCCCTCCCGGGCTCTCCGTCGCACCCTGCTTGAACAGGAGGAAATCATCCAATCGCGAGACGAAGGCCTCCCGCTGCTTGGGGCCCAGTGGCATGATCTCCGCATCCACTCCTATACTGAACTTAGACCTAAGGCAAAGGGATCGTAGGAACCAAAAATTAAAGACTATTTCTAGGCACTCAAAACCCTAAGTAGAAGCCCATTGCAGGTGGGTAGTTCCTCTTCCATAGTACTCCCATAAGACCCCTTTACCTTATAGGAGTGGTATGGAAGGCTTATGGGAGACTACCCATCTTAAAACTACCCACCTGTAAATGGCTTAGACTAAGCCCTAAGGAGAATAGGAACCAAAATTCAAAAACTATTTCCAGGTACCCTAAACCCTAAGGAGAATAGGAATCGAAATTTTAAAATATTTCTAGGTACCTGTAAGACTCGGTTCGGACCCAGAGGCGTGAACTCCAAGTTCCTCGCCACGCCGCCTGCCGGGTCCAGGTATCTCTAGGGACCTCACTAATTAGAATAGGGTTTAGGGTTTAGGGTTTAGGGTTTAAGGTTTAGGGTTTAGGGTTTAGGGTTTAGGGTCCAGTATACTATATCCATATTAAGGAACCCCATCCTAAACCCTAAGCCCTGGGCTTCTATGGGCCTGCAGGGTCCAGGTACTGCAGGATCGGCCGATCCTCCACCGGCCGGAAAAAAGGCGGCCGGCCAAGACCTACTGGCTTCTTCTTCAGGAACTGAGTAAGATTCCCACTATGGCAACCTTAAACTTGAATAGCAAAAACCCTAAACCCTAAACCCTACTAACCCTAAACCCTAAACCCTACCAACCCTAAACCCTAAACCCTAAACCCTACTAACGCTACTAACCCTAAACCCTACTAACCCTAAACCCTAGCCTAAAACCCAGCCTAGAATGGCGCTGCTGGTCGTCCAGAGGAGCTCCCAGTCGCCCTTCAGCTGACTACTCGTCAAAGGCTCCGCCGTTGGGTTAAGTGCCTCCAACTCTGCGAAGAGACCTATACTGAACTTAGAACCCTAGCAAAAACTACAATTTTATTTAGCTGTTTCTTAGGGATTATAATAACCAAAAATTAAAAAATATTTCAAAGTACCCCTGAGAGACCACCAATTCGATCGTTCTGAGCCTCATCCACCCCGCGCTGCGATGCCTCCACGGCTGCGAGAAGCTCTTGTTTCAGGGTGGCCCTGCGCTGGCCCTGAAAGGCTTGGAAAGCTGCGAAAGCCGCAACTCCCGCTGCCGTCACGCCAGCTGCAAGCACCGGGCTATCGAGCGCAACAGCGGGATCCACAGCTTTCCGGGGTGTCCGTGATCTTTTTGTGACCGATGTGGGTGCCAACCGACGCTCTATCCCCTGCACAGGCCCGGCCACAAAGGCGCGGGGAAGCAAGGCAAGGAGAGAAAGCGCAAGGCAGCAGAAAATGTGCCTCAGCCGCGAACTGCGGGCCATGGCTGAAAATCTTCTAACTCTCAGTGAAGCGTCGTGTGCACAACGACTACATCTTGTCAGCTGAGCATCGGTTCACGGGATCAATAAAAGTGAAGAGACGAAAGGAGCCCCAAAGTACCGTACACGACAGTTCAAGGCCGATGCTTTAACACCGCTGCAGATGTCCACCATCCCATCAACTACCTCAAAGCTTGGCTGCTTGGCCGAAAACTCCGTTCATCCAGCATGAATACGCTCCCTAGCATGCAATGTCGACAGACTTTGCTGTATACTCCCGAAGGCACATCACGCGAAGTGCGGCAAACCCACTGCAATTCGACACTGGGCATAAGAGACCCCGCAGCCTCAAGCACGTCCACCCTGGCCAAATTCTCGTGGGATAGGAAATCCGAAGGTCATTTTTGGGAACCGAATCCCCGGAACTTTAGTTTCAATCTCAGACAAGACCCTGCGCTCTCAAGACTGAATCACTTAAACCCCAAACCCTAAACCCTAAACCCCAATCCGAAAGCCTGATAGGATGTACTATCGTCATCATCATCGCCGCTGTTTCAGACTTGCTGCTACGGTTGATGATATAAATCCTGCATTACCTGAAGCACCCCAGACTATGGGGATAATGGTATATTCCTTATTATGGGTAATGCAGGATGTATATCATCAACCGTAGTACTGCTCTAGCAGTTATAATATGGGTTTCATCCTTCGTATTGACGAACGGGCATCTTCACTGCGAGTGTGCTGATAGCTAGTACTACTACTCTTACAGCTACTGTTGCTACTACAACTACTTTGCCAGTACTAGTGCTACTACGACGATGTGCATGTATGCATGTAGGCATATATATATATATATATATGAATATATATATATATATATATATACATCTACACATATACTAACTGGTCAATCTATGTGCCTGCGTATGTACCTCTTTGGTGATATATCGAGAAGGAGGTCTGAGCAGTCGGCTCGCCGGTTGGCCTCCTTTAGCTGGTCACCAAGCGACTTGTTCTGCCTCTGCGGATACGATTTGGGACCCTAATATAGTACCCTAAATACTAGGATCCTGATAAGAAGGATGCCAAGATTCGGTCCCCGACTTTTCGGAAACTCCCATGTAGGATTTAGTGTGTTTGGGGCCCTGCCTGCGGGGGTAAGGGTCTATGAAGGTGGGGTTGGAAGCACTAGGGCTGAGGGTTTGGCACCCAGAGTCCCAGAGGCTTCGAAAGTGGGTTTGAGGCTACACTGAAGTGGGATGCGGCACTTAAACAACGAACCGGAACAGTAGACCTCAACCCTAAAGCCTGAATCCTGATGTTGCGGGGTTTGTATGTGTCGCGTGGACACTTGGAGTTTTTGCCTTCAGAGCCGCTTTCGGACCTGTGGATTGTAATTGACAGATTCAAGTAATTGGTTTTATGAAACCCCAGCAAGAGTGATAGTAACAAATTAACAAGAAGAAGACAATAATCGCAATAACAACGCCGACAGTACACAAAAAGCAAGCAACAGCGGCAGGAACAACAAACTGGCCAGTAGTTATCAACCATAAACAAACGCTATCATGACGCAAAGCATTGCCTGCATCACCGCAGTTGAAAAAGTAGTAACAGCAATACCCGTGATCCTGGCAATCATGACCGACCAATGCTGGGGATGTAGTAGCAAGTAAATATCCCGCACACCATAATCACAACAACGGTTGCGATAATCATCACAGCAAAACGCATGCTGATACGATTATCACTGCAGTCCCGCGTGGCTCTGCGAGCCCAGAACTCTGGGAACCTTCTTGCCTGATGCAGAGAAGCCAACATCAGCGCACACCCCAGACCCCTCATCTAAACCCTGAGTAGGCCTTTTCAGAAACCCTTATGATACAGTAACACTTACCGGTAAACCACTCCTTAGCTGCTGAGCTCCCAAGCCCAAAAAGTGCAAACTTTGAGCTGCATCAGGGATCTTACGATGCTAAAACATATAAAGGGCTCCCATTCAGCTACTAAGACACTTACAGGACTCATGAAAGGGTATGTTCACCCCTAAACTCCAAACCCACTCTTACAGGGACTCCTGAAAGGGAATCCCGAGACCCAGAGAGCCCAATGCCCGTTAACTAAGGAATAGACCTTAAATTTCAGTGGCCTCAATATTATGGCAATACCCCTGAAGGAATATACCTTGCATTACAGGGGGCCTTCATATTATGGTTTAAGGCATGTTCCTTAGTTAAGGCGGTGTTGGGCCCTCTGGCCTTAACCCTAAACCTCAAACCCTAAACCTCAAAACCCCAAACCCTAAAACTTCTAAACCCTAAACCCTAGACCCTAAACCCCAAACCCTAAACCCAAGCCCTACACCACAAACCCTAACCCTTGTAAACCCTAAACCACAAACCCTAAACCACAAACCCTATACCCTTAAAAAACCCCAAACCGTAAACCCCGAGGGCCTCCTTAGCCGACCGCACTCCTCGGAGAGGGCCCGGAGGTCCGCCTCGACTTTTGTCAGCCGCACCTCGTGTCTAAGGCACCAGCGTAGGGCCGTTTGAGCGCGTTACCCCGTTTGAGGATTTAGGGTTTTAGGGTTTAGGGCTTTAGGGTTTAGGGTCTACGGGTTTAAGGCTTCAGGGTTTAGGGTTTAGGGTTTAGGGTTTAAGGCTTTAGGGTTTAGGGTTTAGGGTTTAGGGCTTTAGGGTTTAAGGCTTTAGGGTTTAAGGCTTTAGGGTTTAGGGTTTAGGGTCTATGGGTTTAGGGCTTGAAGGCGCCAGGGTACGGGCCGTGTACTATAGGGGCCTGCATGATTAGGATGAGGTTCCGGGGTACATTACGCTATGACTATAACAAGGAACCCCCTAAAATCCCATAGGAAATTATTCAGGGCCGTTTGAGGATTTAGGGTTTAAGGTTTGGGGCTTACTTTAGGGTTGAAGGCATAGTTTAGGGCTTTAAAGCTTAGCTTAAGGCTTAGGGCTTAGTACAAGGTTCAAGGCCGAGGGTTTTGGAAGTTTCAAGTTTACGGTTCAGGTTTCAGTAACCCCTAAACCCTGAACCCTAAACCTTAAACCCTAAACCCTAAACCCTAAACCCTAAACCCTAAACCCTAAACCCTTAGGGCTGGGGTTTGGGGCTTTGGGCTTGGGGTGCCGGGTCTCCGGGCTCGGCTCTGGGTTTAGGAGCTGGGTCCTTGAAAGGTGCGTTGAGAGGTTTAGGGTTTAGGGTTTAGGGTTGAGGGTTTAGGGTTTACGGTTGAGGGTTTAGGGTTTAGGGTTTAGGGGTTGAGGGTTGAGGGTTTAGGGTTTGGGGTTTGGGGTTTCTGCAAGGGCTCGATAAAGGGTGCCAGAATATAGGGTTCAGAGTTTACGGGGTGCTTGTTAACGGATTTGATTTAAGTTACCCCGCTTATTTCCTCTAGATTCCTACCATAGCAATTTATAGTTAAAGCCGTTAACAAGAACCCAGTTTGGAGCTTAGGATTTCAGCTTTACTGATCAGGGTTTGGGCTCAATGGCTGCACGTGTAGAACGTAGGAATTCACTGCAGCTAGGATTAGGGGGGATCCTTGGGGATATCGACCCTCTTCATAAGGTCCTCTGTAAGAGAGCCAGCAGCAGGGTTAAGAAGAGGCCCCTTTAAGGGGTCTCTCTAAATTCTAGGATTTCAACGCTTGCGATTGCCGGCTTCTTACCTTTGGTTGGTACGGAATGGAGGAATGGGGTACAGTTATAACTACTATTACTACCATTCTTCCCTGAACCCTAAAACCTAAACCCTATTACTACCATTCTTCCATTGACTACTAACCAAAGGTAAGGCTTGGGAGCAAACGGATGAAAGGCTCAGCATCAAGGCTTCTGACTCTTGGTCTGGGATTTAAGGATTAGGGTTTAGGGTTCAGCGATCGGAGTAGGCCAGAAAGTTCGGGTTTAGGAGTTGAGGGTTTAAGGGTGTTGGGGTTTAGGGGTTTGAAGGTTTTTCGGTTTGGGGGGTTTAGGTTTCATAGCTCAGGATTCAAGGAGAGGGCCTGAGTTCTGGCCCCTAATCCCGAAGAAGCCTTCAACCCTTAACGAACTGCACCCCAAACCGAAATCCCTAAACCTGTCAGCAAATGCCCAAAGCCCCCAGACCTTAAACCCCAAGACGCCGATGATGCAGAACCTTGATTCAGAAAGCCTCTCTCCTGAAAGGGTAGTGGGACTTGCTAATCAGGGGTCTTCCCTGCCCTAAACCCACCCTCAGCCGCCTGCGCTTTCGACTTCTCCCGGATGTTCTCATCCCGCTGGAGCACCGCGCGCCCGAGCTTGTCCACGAGGTCGGCCACCTGCTGACGCTCAGCAGCAAGGTGCTATTTGGCTTAGGGATTAGGGCTGACCGTGGGGGTTTCAGGGTTTGGGGCTATCGGCGTTGTGTGAAGTGCTGCATCTTCAAAGGTGTGGTTCAGAGTCTTGTCTGGGATTTGCAGGGGTAAGCTCGCATCGCATGGTTCAGGTTCAGGGCTTGCAGGAGGTTGGGACCCTCGCGGCGGGTGTCTCTATTCAGTGTGCGTCTAAATAGATTCACTAACCCAAAGGAAGATGTTGATAATTGTGGGGCCTCCCCATTTCGCCTTCTTTGGAGTTTAGGGTTTGGGGTAGTTTGGAGTTTAAATTCACACACAAAAGCCCATTCCTGCAGCCCCAAAGAAGCCGAGCTGGTACCGATCTTCCAGACAAGCCCTGCCGTGAACCTATCCAGGCCCAAAAAGTTGTCCGCCTCGTTCACCTTGTTCCTCAGCTCGAAAGCTCAGGAAGGCATATGCATAGATAGATAGATGGATAGATAGATGGATAGGTAGATGGATAGATAGAGAGATAGACATGTAGATAGATCGATAGGCAGATCGACGGACCGATAGATGGATCAATGGACAGATGGATCGATAGATAAGTCGGTAGGTAGAAAGGTATATGTGCATGCTTTTGTGTATATATATATACATGTACATGTATATATATATATATATATATATATATAGATATAGATATTATATATATATACACGTATTCATATATATGTATATACATACACATATTGGCATATAAGATTTTACACTATACATGTATAAGGCGCTGCATTGAATGTGTTTCATCGGCTTAAGGCGGTAGTTCATAGCGGTGCCCTTAGCCGAAAATACTACAGTATCGCACAACTGACAGCAGTCGCTCGCACACACATGTACGCATACATACATGTACGTATACGTATACATATGCGTATTCGTATACGTATACATATACACATACAGATACAGATACAGTTATATACAAAGATACAAATACATATACGTATACATATGCATATTCATGTGTGTATACATATATATATATGTATGTATATACATATGCAGCATGCAATATACAACATACAGCATACAGTATACACGCACTTGGTTGCTCATGTGTTGACCTATATATATATATATATATATATATATGTATATATATATATATATGTATATATATATATATACATAAACTCTAACTAACCAGTTGCAAATGTGTATATATATATATATATGTATATACACGCTATGAGAATGAGCCGGCAGCTCAGCGATCACGGTGATAGTTTGGGGGGTTGTCGTTTGTGAAGGCTTGGAGGTCGTGGTGAAACGATCCCTAGGATTGCTAAGTTGGGAAACATGGGACTGTCGGGGGTGAATGGGTTGCGAGACGGTGACACGCATACTCTTTGAACACGGAGCCGACCCTACTTGTCGGGTATCATGGGGAACTAAAGGTCAACCTTTTTGGTTATATAGGGACTGCACTACCCAAAAAAAAGGTTAAAGGTTGCTACTCTAACCAGGAGCCTCAAGGAATACTGCTGTTAAGTTGGTTAGGCTTCTGTGCTAGTTCAAACACTCATGTCGCATGTGCGCAAGTCTGTTGCAACTGTTTTGGCTCTTCGCAGGTCAGGGTCCGGGGTGGACTGTGCATGGCTTTGCAATGCAAGACGTCGCACATGGCGGAGGGCCAAAGCCACGGATGCTGCACAAAGCGGACGGACACGCGCAGAAACAGGAAACGGAATCGGGAGTAGAAGGGTTTTGGATTTAGGGTTTAGGGCTTTTAGGCCGTTGTGCCCATCGTCGCAAGTACAGCCTGTACATGATCAGCAGCCTTCCCAGCACCATGGCCATAGGATGACTAAGCCCAAAGCAGGAGATAGTCCGTCTGAGCTGTACATCGTCGGGGGTCCCATGCACTTGAAGTAGAGGTTACTACCAACCTCAACCTTCATAAATAAGAGTTCGATATCCCTGGACATTCCGCGTGGCTTGAGGTCGCATGCGCTTGCGGCTACTACCAACCTCAAGCTTCAGAAAGGAAGTTGGACGTCTTTGGAAATTCCACAGGCTCACGCCGATGATTCCCAAAGCACCCAACCACTGCAGCCGATCTGAAACTTGGGCCGGAGGTCTTCGATGGCAAGGTAGCCCACGGCTTTCACAGAGCACATGACAAAGCTGACGTAGCCCACGAAGAGCACGAATAGCACCGCCGCTTTCTCCAGGATCATGGAGCGAGACGCCTGGTTGGACTTTCCCGACTCGCCATTGCTGTCTCCGTCCCGGAGGAACTTCCAGTAGAGCAACGCGGGGTAGATCTGGGTGACCCACGGCGTTGTAAGGGCCGTGACGAAGTCCAGAAGCGTCCCGATGCTGGGGGTGAAGGTGGCCAGGATAAGTGCCAAGATGAAGGTTGGCATTGTGTAGCCCAGATACCTGGTTCATGGTCGGGATAGTACTAAAATCCCCACCTTTATTCCAGAAAAAATTGGAAAATGCTACCAGACCATGACAAAGATACCGCATCACATCAGACGCGGACCACGTGTCCTTGAAGCTTGGCGCCCAGCTCCTCTGGCAGAACCGGCAGAGCGGCACTGAGTCCAGCATGTATGAGACGAAGTTGCCTCCCAACTTAAAGCAACTGAAGATCGTGTTCACATCTGTCCCCGGCACCCAGGCACCGACACCTGCTGTGATGCTGATAACTTCGCCGACTTCGAAGCCCCATCGCGCCACCACTATGGTGCCCACGACGATGAAGACCAGAACATTGAGGCCACCTGGGTGGTTGTCAAAGTTAGGGTCCATTTTGGGGCTCCTATTATAATACAGCCCCTCATATTTAGGGTACCCAAAAAGAGACCATAATTTTGACAACTACCCACCTGAGAAGAGCAGCGACTTCTTGAACTCCGCAGGTGACTCCATGCAAGCGCTGAGCTCCACAGTGAGGAAAGCAGGCACGTAAGCCCAGGAACTGATAGTGCAGCCGCTGGCCAGCCTCACCACCATCATGCTCAGATCCTGGTTCTTTGTTGGGGTTACACTAGAAATTGATCATTTTAAATCTTTTTGGGATTTATTATAGCAGTTATACTAAAAATTGATCATTTTAAATCTCTTTGGGATTTATTATAGCAAAAATGTAAAACCATAACAACCAACAAGGACCCAGGATCCGGCTCAGGGTTGCCCACCAAGCGAGCGGGAATCTTCTCCTCGATGTCGTACTCGAAGGCTGCTACCAGCATGCAGATGATCATGCCCAAGATGCACCTATACTTTGGAAGGGCCCCCACCCTGCAATAGTGGTATAATAGGAAAATAGGGCCCTAATATAATCCTTAAAGTCACTATTACAGGGTGGGGGCAGTTTCTAACCTACACTGAACTTAGACCTCTCGCAAGAAATACAATTGTAGCTGTTTCTTAGGGAGTAGAGGAACCTAACTTACGACTTTTTCTAAGGAACCCTTGACCCTAAACCCTGGACCCTAATCCTTAAGTCAGGCACACCAGGGAGATTTGCGTGAAGACGTTCGCGTTGCTGAGGCTGCGAACCTGCGTCGTCAGCAAGCAGAGGATCGCCACCAGCCAAACCTTGGAGGCCAAAGGACCCTTATAGGTAGAACCCTTACCTTAACTCCAAATAACCTACCTTTTAGGGTTCCCTAATATGAGTCCTCAAAACGGTAGATTATTTGGGCTTCAGGTGTACCCTGATATTATGAAGCCCTATATCGTAAATGAACCTCAAACTCTTTTAGGATTCATGTCCTCCCCGAGGAACGTAGTAGTCCGTGCAAGCACCCAATGGGCCGATGCTTCCCATGCCCTGCAGCGCCTCGCCGCAGAAGCCCTAAACTCTAAATCCTAAACCCTATACCCTAGACTCTACACCCTAAACCCTAAACTCTAAACCGTAAAACTCTAAACCCTATACCCTAAAGCCCTAAACCCTGCGGGGCCTCGCCGCAGAAGCGCAACGCGCAAGGCATGAAGAGGCAGAAGTTGCCCAGCTGAATCCTTGGCTCTGGATGCCTAAACAGTGGGTTTAGGGTTTTAGGGTTTAGGGTTCAGAGTTTCAGGGTTCAGGGTTTTGGGGTTTAGGGTTTAGGAGTTTAAGGTTTTGGGCCTTCAGGTTTACGGTGTAAGATTTAGCGTTGAGGGTTGAGGACATACCGGATGTCATGGCCAGGGCTCAGATTTCCGAAAATCTTTCCGGGACGGCCGAAGATTTTGAAGCCCAGGTCACCGAAGGTCTCGCAGTCCGGATACCGCATCTTGATCTGCAGCAGCATATTCCTTAGGCGCCCCTCGAATCGAATCAAAGTTTAGGGGTTTGGGGCGTAGGGTGTTGGGATAACCCCTTGGAGTTTAGTAACATGCAAAAAAAACACTTCCTAAGCGCATTACAGACTCGAGCCGGCGATGGAGGCCCCGGTGATCACCATGCAGATCACAATGCCCCCCATGAAGCCCGCGTTTGCAATTGCGAAGGGGACGGCCATGACCGCTGAAGGTGCAGCAAATGTGAAAAGAAGTATTCCTGCTTGCCTCTAAATGGGTGGTTCTCAAAATTAGGGTCCCTTTTTGGGTCCCTATTATAATACGGCACCTAAGACTTAGGGTACCCAAAAAGGGTCCATAATTTTGACAACTACCCAGATGTGTGTCGGGTGGTGGTTTGGTGCTTCGGGGTAGGGTATAGGGGTTTTGGTTTAGCTCTGAGGGCTTCGGACTTATTTGAAGTGAGTGTTTAAGCACTATCCCTGCTTGCCTCCAGGTCATTTTGGCTCCGTGCACTTCCTCCTTGGCATACTCCGTCGGACTGTCCATGGCGGCAAGCTGCGGGTGCGCGGGGGCAATATCGGCGGTTGCGTCGGAGCTCGAGCGAACTGCGATATGATTCGCAAGGGTTGGATTCTGCTGCATGTAGTACAGTGTAGTCTGTGTAATTATAGGATCATACAGAGACGAAACAGGTCTTGTTTTACTAAGCCAGACCTCGATATTAAAACCGCTCGCCCGGGAGATCAGGCCCCGAAAGCCCCAGTCCCTGTAGGCTACCCGGCCGCATCTCGCCGGAACCACGGGCCTGCAAAAGGTCAGGGTTCAGGGCTTTTTTTAAGTGCAATGGGGCCCTTTTCTGCACAAGGTCCAGGCTGAGTTGGCCCCTCAGGATGTCTGAAGGGCGTGGGATTCGGTTTCGGGGCTTAGACGTCGGGTTTAGGGCTCAGGCTTTTGGTTTTAGGGAAAAGCAGCAGCAGCATTTGTGGTCGTTGGTCGTCGTCGGTCGTCGTTGCAGCAGCATCAGCAGTGCATAGACTTTGGAGTGCAAGACTCAATGGATCGCCCTTGAGGGAGTGGGGTTCCCCTCTGCCTGAACCTATAGCGCTCAAATCCTTGGCTTCAAACCATGATCAATACCACGAGAGGTAATCCATCTCTGGAAACCACCTGAAGGTACTGATGGAAACGAGACACCGAAAACAAGAGAAGCCCTTAGTATTCAAACTAAGTAGCGCAACAACATCCCGAAGAAATAACAAGGCAGATGAGTGGATGGATATCTAGGGGGTAGGTGAGTAAGTAGAAAACGCAATAACAGCCATGGCAACTGAGACAGCAGCCAGTAGAACAACAGTAGCTACCACCTTCCCTTTCATCATGACAACATACTGTATGACAGCTGTAGCATGTGTTGTGACAGGCACCGCGATAACAGAATGACAACCCAGAACAACATCAGCAGGTCACAATTACTAGCAACACTGTTTTCAACTGTTTTCAACACTTACACGGCCCTGCCAAGCAATGATCCAGACCCGGCACAACCTGATTAAAACCTTATTACTTTAAGACATATAGGGTTTAGGGTTTAGCGTATAACAAGCACCTACACACACAACAAGATCCAGTCAAGCAAGGTTTGGCCTGCAAGCCCTTCTGCAGCAGCCGCACCTCCTGGATGTGCGCCTTCGGGACATCTTCGCTGACACATGAGAACATGTATGTATGTATGTATGCATGTGTGTGTGTGTGTATGTATGTCTGTGTATGTGTACATATGCATAATATATACATTTGTACATGTACATACATGTATACATCTGTATGCGTTTGTGCCTATGTATGTATACATACATGTATGTACGTATGTATGTATGTATGTGTAGCTGCTGATCTATTCTTCCACGATCGAGCGCTGAAGAACTTGGGATTAGGGTGTTTTGGTAGTTGGAATTTTGGGTCTAGGAAGCATCTAAGCCCTGAACCCAAACCCAAAGCCCTGCTCCCTAAACCCCAAGCCTCCAACCGATCCCACGGTCCCGGCCCTTGCCGCTACTTTTGAGTTCTCGTTAGGGAAATTAATTTAAGTTACCGTAATAGGGATCTATAGTAACTAATATGGTTTCTTTATTATGGTAACCTAAGTTAAAATCCTTTAACAAGAACCCAGTAATTGCAGGCTCAGCCTTCGTTTCAGAGAGGCTTCTTTAAGGTTTCAAGGGAGGGAGGCTGTTAGGTTTTTTTTTAGGTTGGGGTCTAGGGTTTAGGGCTTAGAGTTAGCTAAGTTCAGGGCTTCATGAGTTCGGGCTTTGGTAGGGCTTTGGTGCTTAGGGCTGTCAGCGTTCAAGCCCCGGGTGAAGGTCAGAGTTTCGGGCTTTGGGGGGTTGGTTGAAGTCTGCGGCGAAGCTTGGGGGTAAGATGCTGGGATCTTGTTAAGAAACTTATTTTACGTTGTCACAATATTTTAAGTTACTATAGTGAGGGAACCATATCATTTACCATAAACCTCTAGTATAGTAGCTTAAAATTAAACTCCTTAACAAGAACCCAGGATGGCCTTCCGCATCTCAGTCATCATCTGCATGGCCTCCTGGGAAAGGATTCGGTGTTGTAGCGTTTGACGGCCTTTGTCTATCTGCTTCGGCTAGCGTTAAGAATGCTTTGGGTTTAGAGGTTAAGGGCAAACTTGAGACTCAAAAACCCGATACCCGAAACCCCTAAGCCCTAAACCCTAGATCCTTAAACCCTAAACCCTAAACCCCTAAACCCTGAACCCCTCTCTCCCTTTTCCCTAAACCCCTAAATCCCTAAACCCAAACCCTGTATGCAAAACCACGGGGACTTGAAGCTTCGCAACCCTGAACTGCGAAGCTTCAAGTCGTCCAGAATGGTTCCGAACCGGAAACCAAGGCCTCAACTAAAGCTGGGTTCTTGTTAAAAGATTTAGTTTAAGTTACCATAATAAAGAAACCATATTAGCTACTATAGATCCCTAGTATGGTAACTTAAATTAAGTTCCCTAACAAGAACCCAGATTAAAACGCCCACAATGGGCTCAAAGTTTCCGTAGCTCCGGCTACAGCCGTTTAGTGAATCTGGAGTCTGGGGTTTCTGACATGGCTCTCAGATTCCCCTGTGTTCTACACTTGAAAGTTGATACCCTGCATTCCGACAAATCCGCGCTGCAGGCCTGATTCTTCAGGGTTTGGGGGCGGAGACAAGCAGGCACATGGACAGCCAAGCAGGGAGGGCGACAGAGAGAGAGAAAGGAAAGGAGAGATGGTATTCCAACAAAGTAAGACCTACACAAAACGCTTTTGATGGTATCCAGCACATGGGATGTGCAAACCCGCCAAAAAATACGAGTTCGCTAAAGCACACTAAACAACAAACGCAACGTGAGTGAGTGAGTGAGTGAGAGAGTGGCTACTCCGAGGAAGCCGAGCCAAGGCGCCATCCCTCCCGGCTTCACAGGGGACTCCGTAACCGTCATTGTCCCCTCCACTTGGAGTTCAAGCTGGCCAGCGCCGGGTGAACGAAGGGTTAGGGAAGGGGAAGATTCTGCAGCACAGCCGCGCAAACGTTAGTCGGCTCATGTGCCGGTGCTGTGATACGTTGACTTTATGGCACTCGTAAAGGCGGATCGACTAAAGCTCGGGCGAGGACACTGCCAACCGTTCATCACAGTGTGCATATGACATGCGCTCCATCGTCGTCAGCAAGGCATGGAGGTTCTCGGCAAGGCATGGAGGTTCCTAACTGAGCACCACCAGGAACAAGGCGAGGGCCCAAACAACATCTCCGCCGGGCCACTAAAGACTAGGGCCCAAGTCAGGGGTGCTAATTGAGGGCGCTGACAGGCGCAAATAGCATCTTCACCGGGGTACACTTCAGGCTAGGGCCCAAGGCAGGGGTGCTAATTTGGGCGCTGACAGGCGGGGGAGCACACCAGAGTAGACTTCATCATGAACAAGGCCGTCAGTCGCCGCCGGCCTCCACCGCAGACCGCCTCCTCTAGAACTCCGCGGTGCAAAGTGCGGCTCGTTTCATCTCCTGAACGCTTCTGGTGAGTCTACCTGGTACCCTCAAGCTATCGCGCCGGCTCCATTTGCTTTGTGGTGACCTCTCATGTGCACCTATGTGAGTTCAGGTGACGACCGTATCCCGGGCCGTCCCTTGTCGGCATCGTTAAGGCCCCCAGCTGTAAACTGCTCCCTGTGACGATCCCGAACGGCCCCAGTTACCCCAGCTGCCAGTATGTCGAGTAAAACTAGAGCGACTCAAAAACATCCTGCGCTCTGAATCGCGGCTGAGGGCACCGCACGCCAACAGCAGTCCGAAAGAGGTTGCGGCTCTAGTGTCTACGTAACAAACATGCCAGGGTCCGCGTGACCCGTAGAAAACTTGCCTGCGGCCCACGTGGCCCCCTCGTAAACAGGGCGCAGAGCACTCTCCCGCGGCCAGCGAGGCTCAGACAAGGAAAGGAAAGGAGGGAGGGGGGAAGAGAGACCGAGAGGGAGAGAGAGAGAGAGAGAGAGAGAGAGAGAGAGAGAGAGAGAGAGAGAGAGAGAGAGAGAGAGAGAGAGAGCGAGAGAGCGAGAGAGAGAGAGAGAGAGAGAGAGAGAGAGAGAGAGAGCGAGAAAGAGAGAGAGGGAGGGAGGGAGAGAGAGGGAGAGAGAGAGAGAGAGAGACAGCGAGAGGAAAAGACAAAGAGAGCCAGACAGACAAGCAGACACAGAGAGAGACAGAGAGAGGGACAGAGAAGCGGCCCGCGTGGCCCACGCGACAAACAGGAGAGGCGGCCCGCGTGGCCCACGCGCAAACAGGCCCCACCCAAACGGCCCACGAGGCCCACGCGAGAAGAAGAGAGAGGGAGAGAGGGAGAGAGAGAGAGAGAGAGAGCGAGAGAGCGAGAGAGCGAGAGAGCGAGAGAGCGAGAGAGCGAGAGAGCGAGAGAGCGAGAGAGCGAGAGAGCGAGAGAGCGAGCGAGCGAGCGAGAGAGAGAGAGAGAGCGAGAGAGAGAGAGAGAGAGAGAGAGAGAGACAGACAGACAGACAGACAGACAGAAAGACAGACAACCAGGCAGGCAGGCAGGCAGGCAGACGGGCAGACAGACAGACGGGCAGGCAGACAAACAGCCAGACAGCCAAACAAACAGAGGGAGGGAGAGAGAGAGCCAGAGAGAGAAGCGACCCGGGTGGCCCACGCGCAAACAGGACAAAGGCCCGCGTGGCCCACGCGGTACCACGCGTCAAACAGGGCCCACATCCCTCTCAGTGACTCAGTGGTTCTTACATCAACAGCTTGACCGAGGCAGCAGCAAACCGCCGCGAGCGGAAATTAAAACAAAAGTGAACAAAACCAGATGACTTCCCTATTATGGAGGCGCCGGCACTGACCAGCACACGTGGGGAGGAGCGGCTGCTTCATATCGGCACCGAGGCGCTTACGTCATCACAACAACTGCGTGGGATCACGCAGGGAGCACATTATGTCGGAATGCGGAAGAAACTTGAAGAAGAAAGTGTGCAACACGGTTAACCCTTACGAGGTTGCCAGCAGCAGCGTGCTAGGCCGTCCGAAGGTCCTAGTCGAGGAGCCAAATCAATGTACTGGCAAGTGTGGAAATTTACTGCCCTGCAGCGGGCAGATAGATCAGCCCCGCACACGAAAGCAGTACTACCGAGGCTGCAGAAAGCTATCTTTTAGACACGCCAGAACTCTTCATCGGTTCTGGAGATTTCGCAGAGCAGCCATTCGACAATGTAGAACTCCATGATGGGCATAGGATGCTGCAGGAGCCGGCGGGGCCACAGCGGTGTGAGAAGCTTGACGAGCTCAAATAACCATCTTTGTGCCGCACGCTGCTCCCATATGGCAGAACGAGGGCGGTTCAGGAGCAAGTTGAGCCCGTGGAGAGCCCCTGGCCCAAAAGAGCAGGCATACTTACGATCCGCGGGCACGCGGGTGGCCAGTCCCGCCGCCCGCATATGCCATACGAAGATGTTAATTAGGCCAAAAGGTGCCAAAGCCGTGCAGTCTTGATAGCAGTGTCAGCAACGGCAGGCACAGCGGCTCTCGCGCAAGTTGCAGAAGTCGATGGCGGGCGTCCCAAATAGCATTGACGGGATCAATGACCGCAGCGCGGAGGGTTCGCATCAACGAGTCTTGGTTATGGGCAAGAACAGCCGTGTTGAAGGCATGACGAAGGGCCTGGAGAGACTCATTCGGTAGATGCGTCCAGGACCCGTTTAAGGCCAGCTGCAGCAGAGCTCTGCCGACAGAGGGGGCATTCCAGTCATACAACCAGCCCAAAGCAACAAGTGCAGAGGGACCGGCCCGTAGCCAAATCGCCAGATTGAGGAGAAGTTGCTCGGCTGTAACAGCGATTGGCGGCTTGCTGTCGCTAAAGTCCTCAATGTTGAGGCTAGGTAACTGCGCCAGCTGATTGGTGACAATATGTAGTGTCTGAAGAAGTAGCGCTGCCGCAAGGCACCCCGGCCGAGCATCGCGTCGAATAACTTTCTCAGCTTCCTCTGCCTCTGCAAGGGAATCCGCCCGAATCCTCTGCGAGAGAGAGGATGCAATGGAATGTCGCGGCAGAGGTCCTCCATGGGCACGGCAGTACTCGCAATTGTCCGCAAGCCTCGCCGAGCCAAGGCGGGCTGAGCAGTCAACGCGCACGGACTTTGCGCGGTCGATGCACCCGCACAAAATCGGGATTGCCCGATGCGAGGTGGCGTCCGTGTCGGGCACAAGTGTGCAGGCCGGCTCGCAGCCTGCAGCGACTGATCTGTCGATTGCAGCCATGGCGGGAACACAAACTAGGCATGGCTGCTCAAGGTAGCGTCGGCTTCCGTTCAAATGGCTGCAGCAGAGCAGCGCTCGGAGGCCGATAAAATGACAGAAAAGGAGGGGAAGGGAGAAGAAAGGTGAAGATGGAAGAAGAAGGATGAAGATGGGTGTGGGTTGGTCTGCCCCCGGCGCACCGGAAACTGCTTGCGGCCAACCCAAGCAGTGGCACCCCTGAGCCTGCTACTGAAGAGCACTTAGCAGCCCCACACAAAGCTCGGGGAACAACAAACGCAAACTCCTCCTAAACCATCCTACACCCATCATAAACCCGAAACCCTGAACCCTCAATCCTACACCCTGCACCCTAAACCCTGAGCCCAAAATCACAGGCCGTACGCGCCAAGCCCGAAGCCCCTAAACTGAAGTCTCCCCCTAAACCCTAAACCCTAAACCCTAAACCCTAAACCCTAAACCCTAAACCCTAAACCCTAAACCCGAAGCAAAAGCTCCTGGGACTCCTTCGAGAGTTGGCTCGACTCGCGTCTCGCCTGTTTCGGGGGCTCTGAAGGAATCAGGATGTAGGGAGTTTCCCAAAACTAGGCGTACCTTAACTTTCCTTGAAAGGGGTACTATAAGGGTACTATGAGGGTTCAAATAAAGGGTTTAGGGTTTGGAGTTTCCCAAAATTAGGGGTACCTTATTTTGGGGTCCGGATCCTACTAGTCAGGGTACTATATCAGGGTCCCCTACATCGGAAATGCTTTAGGGTGTTCTTGTAATGTGTAGTGGCCCTTTATCTCTGCAGTTAGGGTTTAGGGTCTGGGGGCCCTGTATGAGGGGTTTGGGATTTCGGGTTTTGGGGGGGTTCACTGTTAAGCGTTTGGGTGTTAGGGTTTAGGGTGCAGGAATTTAGGGATTACGGTCTGGGGCTTAAGGGCTTCTATGCCGATTTGGAGAACACAACTACGGATGTCGCACAAATCACGCGACATGACACGAATGTAAGAGTCAGAATGACTATGGTACTAACATCCTCTTGCAGCCTACGCTTAGGGTCGGGGTTTAAATAGGGCATCCCCTTACAGTCCGTATACTGTCGCGATGATATACCCCAAAGTTCTGTTGCAATTATCAAGGCGCCTACAGACTTTGGTCTCAGATGTGGATCTTGCCTGAGAAATCTTGCTCAGGACACGCATGTCGGGGCGCTGGCATCGTCCATGAAGCTTTTTGTCCCCACTTGAGCTCCATCTTTTTTTGAAACTTACACAAGACTCTCCGAAGCTAAGCAACGCTGCTGAGTGAAGAGTAGGCAGGGGTTGGCACAATGCGGTTGCGGCAGTGATCCAAACTTAAAGCAGATGATGCTGCCCTAGACCCCTGCCTGCCGAGATGTGTAGCCTAAGGGTGGTCAGAACAAGGCAGAGTCGGCGTGACATTCGCCAACATTTTTACAAGAACCCCCTCTCAGAGGCACAACATCGCCCTGAGGGAGGAATTCAGATCCAGAAGCTCGCTCACTCCTTGTACCACTTGCGCGCGTGGGCCGCATAGGTCTCGGGCGAGACAGCCTGAAAACAAACAGGCCATCACTTCTTCACATGGTTTTGAGATATTGGGTTAGGGGTTTAGTGTTTAGAACTCTTGGTTTACGGTTGAGGATTTAGTATTCAGAACTGAAGGGTACAGTGTTGGGGTGTAGTATTTAGAAATGTTGGTTTAGGGTTCAGGGTCCAGGGTCTCCAGAATCCGAACCGCCTCGAAGCCTACCAAGAGTGGGCCTCGACGACAATGGGCATGAAGCCGTGGAGGGTTCCACACAACTCGGAGCACTGACCTGGGAGTGTTATAGTACCCTAAATAGAAGGGATCGGTATTATAAGGGCCCCAAAATGAGGTACCCCTAATTCTCGGAGCACTGACCTCGCAGCGACCGCGAAACATCTTGCTGGTACGGCTATGGCTACTCTTCATGCTCTTAGAAGTTTGGCTTTGGGCTCAAGGTTTTAGGACCATATAGGGTTCAGGCAAGCCGGTCTCATTACGGGAGTCACGGAAGCTCTTGTTGCCGCTCTTGCAAAAGAAGCGAAAATCTTCAAGAGCTGCCGGATACCTGCTTGGGCCGGCACCATAGAAAACTCCCTCTCGCTGGATGAAGGTGTTGATGCCTGCGACTTGGCTCGCGAGAAGTCTGGGAGCTTCAACTACTACTACCAGTACTGCTGCTGTTACTACTACTACTACTACTACTACTACTACTACTACTACTACTACTACTGCTACTAGTACTATCACCACTACTACTACTACTACTACTACTACTACTACTACTATTCAATTGAACGCTGTGCGAGCGGGCTCAGCACATAGCGGGCGATTGCCGCGGTGCACTCACATGGTGTGAAACTGACTCAGACCCTATAGCTGAACAGCCCTGGTCGAAGACCTTTGGGTGTTGGCGGCCTACCGGCGTCAGGCTAACTGGCAGTGGTCAGCCGAAGCAAGTTGGTAGGCGGCCAGGCTACAAGCTTCAGATTGTTGTATGTACCTGCGCGAGGATAGTGATTATGCAGCACTGATTGCAGAGGCACAGTTCTGCGACTGGCAGAAGGCAAGGCGTGTTTTTCTCTGACAGCGGCGGCGATCAGCAGAAAAGCCGTCAGTACATGCCGGAAGAAACGAAGTATAAGTGCAGGCATGGCCTCCGTTTTTTCGCTGTATAGGTTGCCATTGGCACCGGTGATCGAAGTTGGGGCTCACTGGTGCCAGGAGCGGCTGTCACTGGCCCCTGAGTCCGAGCCACGATTCCACCACCCTCCTCGGGTCCAGGCATCGCCGTCTCTGTAGCGCTTATCTGTGTGAGACTGTGTCTCTTCGCCAGAGCGCTTGTCTCGCTGTTCCCGCTGCTCCCGTAGCTCGCGTTGGCGATGCCATTGGTATGTGGGCGTGTCGCCCTTGTTGTGTTCGATGCGGAGCTTGCGGACAACGTGTCCTTCCCGAGGCTGGTAGAAGATGGCTCGATTTTGACCCCCACTTTTCCTGGAGGACTGGTCATAGATGCACTTGAATGTGGAGGCCACGATCTCGAAGTTGTCATCCGTTTCGAGCAATGCGCTCATGTCCGGATGATCCCACATTTTCTGAAAAAGGGCATGCACTATGCCATAGTAGGTCGTGGTGGACTTGAGCTCGGTGTAGCGATCATCTTGGCCAATGGATAGTGTGAATTGGCCATTGGCCCCGACCATAAGCCGCGCTTGCGTGATGTCAAGCCAGTTGGCATCCTTGTCGGTGGCGACCTTCTTGATCGGGGCGAAGATCCACGGCACCTTGCCCAGTGCTCGAAACCTATTGGTCCAAAGGTAGACCTGCTCAGAGGCTGTGAGGCCACCCACGATAGCCTGCTCCTTCATAATGGAAATGGTCGCAAAGGCATGGACCCACTCCAGCATCTGGTCAGACTGGCAGATGTGAATAATCTGATCTCTCTTTGGCAGTTGATTTGCCTCTTGCTCTGGAGAGGGGTTGACACTGTACTCCACCAGCTTGGTCGTGGTGACCGGTCCCTGGTATTTGACCTCTGCACGCGTAGAGGGGGCATCCACAGGGGATGAGGCTATGGTGTCAGCCGGGCCTGGGGTCTGTGGGACGGTCTCCTCGGTGGGGGCAGCTGTCGGAGTCACATTCTGGGTTGAGAATGCGTTGAAAGGCCGATCGCTTGTCTGGCCAGGGCCAGCAGACTTGTGTGACTGCGGTGTGCCCGCCGGCAGCATCGGAGTGTCGGGCGTGCCCACAGTGTCTTCCGCCCATCCCAACGTGGGATCGGCAGTGACGTGTGTCTCATCCTTGATATCCGCCGGTTGGTCATTGACCCCCTGTTCTTCTTTCGCTGCAAGAGGCCGGTGGCCCTGCGCTTGTGGGGTAGGACCTGGCGGAATGGGAGGGAGACCGAGCCCAAAGCGTGCCTTAGACACCGACGCTGTGGGTCTCCACTGGGGCGGACGGTCCGCCGTGGGTTCTGGTGGTGGCGGAGCCTGGCCTGACGCTGCAATGGCTGCAGCTGAGGGAGGGTTTGCAGGCTCGGCTGGGCGCTGCGACCACATACTGTTGCGAGGCGGGGGGCCTGGTGGCTCGGGCACTGATCGGTCGTGCCGGGATTGCATGAAGTGGTGTGTGACTCCCAACTCATTTGGGAACTTCAAGCGTCGGCCGCCGCGCTCACAGTAGCGGCAGGAAAGCCAGTCAGGATCTTCAGGGTGAAGGCAGAGGCCTCGGGGGATGTTGCGAAGGACAGCCTCGGCCGAAATGCCGTGGTACTGCGGCTCCTTTTCGACCGCCGCCATAATCGCGTCGAAATCACCCCGTTCGAGGCTGCTGAGCACAGTCTCGCCGACAACTCTGACGCCTGCATTGGTGAGCATTGCTCCCGCTCTTGCTGGATGGGGTGCTGCAGAGGCAGCGCCACCGGCTTCAATGACCTCCGAAACGATTTGGGGCACGCTCTGCATGAGAGAGTTTTCATTTCTTTGAGCTGCCCTGGGGTCGCCCTTGAAGCCTTTTCGCCAGCTCCAGCAGCGGGTGAATGCAACTCGAACCTGACCGCGGGTCTCAAAGTAGTGACCATCAGACTCAAGCTCTTTGGACTTGGTGAGCTGAGTTGAATGTCGCTCGCGGAGCAAATACACCGGTCCGAACTGGCGGGTCTGGTTCCATCCTGGCACTGGGGTGTGGCCCATGTCGTGCGTGAGGAGCTTCCAAAGTTCCTTGCAGAAGATCATGTAGTCCAGGTTGGCGACCGAGGCAAGTATTTGCCTGCTGAAAGCGTGATTGATAGCGCAGAGCATGAGGGGATGGCGCGGTTGTCCATAGATGATGCCCTGGAAAATGTGGTCATTTTTGACCCCAATGCCCATGATCATGTACTCCTTGGGCAGAACCCCCTCCACTCCATTTGGGCATTGCCCCAGCTCTTTGCTTTTGCGAACTTGGACATTGTCCCATTCTGAAGCGATGAG